CTGTACCTTTTATACATATTTACACAATCATTTATGACAATCATGACCATTGTTAGAATTTCACTTGGCGGGAATTAATTTTATTTACACATTTGTGTTATTTAGGAACATATTGGGGCTAAGATTGAGGTTTGGCGCGCCTAAAACCGGTTTAAACTCCCCATTGGTTTAACTGCCACTAACCGTTCTAAGATGGTACCACTCTGTGTTCCTTCACGTGTTTTTCATGTCTGTATTGTTACTTGTTTTGGATGTTAACATGTTTTGTGATGTCTGTCTTGTTGGATTGTCAGTGACGGTAGGTATTTTCTCTCACACACACCCCTCTCCCTTTTTCTACCCCTCCGCCTTTCCACCATTACAGCCCTTATCCCTTTAATTCCCGTATGGGCCCGTTTTTTTTTATTTCACACATTACATGTCCCTCTACTATCGCCGCCGTTGTACCCACTCCCGGTCTTGGTTTGGTGCCTTCTGGGTGTGTTGGGGCTGCGTCCTGTGAACGTTGCCTCTGCCTGGTTGATCTTTATTCTTGTTTTTATTATTTAACAAACTTGTACTTAAAAGATAAAACAAATAAAATAAAGAAGACACAGATGGATTTAAAATCAATATATATTTGCATTGACCATTCATTTTAAAGTGCATAAACTTATGTTTATAAGCGTTAATTATTCAATAATTTGTAACAGTGTTACCAAAGAACCCCGCTTAATGGAAGTTGTACATGAACATGAAAATTGTTTCAAAATATTTCAAAAGATTAAGATATGGATCTGGACTTTCAATACAAACAAAATATATATGTGACCTTGACCTTGGAGGTAAGGGCCAGTTTTTTTACGCATTATACATTGTCTTATTATTGTGAACATTTGTGCCAAGTATTTTCAAATTCCGCTAAAGAACTGGACACGACATATACCTCGACAATGTTGTACTTTTATCACAAAGTGCGACCTTGACATTGAAAACATGTGTCCGGTTGTCACGCATGACACGTCGTCTTATTATTGTTAACATGTGTGCCCAATATTGTCATCTTCTTTGCACATGAAAAGGCTTAAAGCCTTAACCCAAGGAACATGTCCAGGAGATTTCCGCATGTCTTGGTATTTTTTATGTAAATTTCGGGAAAACATCATTTTCACGAGCCTACCATGCAAAAACCATTTGATCACTTTCGTTGCAAATTTGATTTTGTACAACTTGAGAGGGTCTTCTTTGCACTTGAAAAAGCTTAAAGCCCTAACCCAAGGAACATGTCCAGGGGATATCCGCATGGCTAGGTAATTTTCCGGCGAATTGCTCTGTCTATATATAAGGTGTATAAATTTTCGAGAAAAGATCATTATTTCGAGCCAAACGTTCATGCAGTGGTGGTCTTCTGACTTCATATAAATGTAAATCAGTATAACTTGAGAGGGTCTTCTTTGCACATGAAAAGGTTTGAAGCCCTAACCCAAGTAATATGTCCATGAGTTTTCCGCATGGCTAGGTCATTTTTCCAGCGAATTGCTCATTCTGTATATAAAGTGTATAAATTTTCGAGAAAAAAACATTATTTCGAGCCAAAATATCATGTAGTTGTCTTCTGACTTCATATGAATGTAAATCAGTGCTGGTTTGTGTGACAAAAATGCGCTTGAGAGTTATCGATCTTGCAGGAATTTATCTCCTGTACAGAATGACTGCTACGTACTTAAAAAAAAATATATTGTAGATTGTATTAGTTAAAAGGATCTTCTTCACTGCTATATAAGGTTTAAAGGCAAATAGATTTACTTCAAGAAAATTAAAAGAAACTTCTGCATGTTCAATAGTCGCTATTCGGACCTGCGATTTGTTCTTTATTTATATTAAGTGTTAAAGAATTTCGTAAAAACGCATCATTCTCTCGTGTCAACTGTTGAAAAACCATCCGACCACTATCGTTGCAAATTCGATTTTGTACAACGTTGGAGGGTCTTCTTTGAACATTATAAGGCCTAAAGCCCTTACCCAAGTAATATGTCCAGGAGATTTCCGCGTGGCTTGGTCATTTTTGCACCGGCGATTTATTCTTTCTCTATAAATTTCGAAAAAAAAAACATCAATTTTACGAGCCTACTGTTCAAAAGCCATTTGACCATTTCCAATGCAAATTCAATTTTGTACAACTTGAGAGGGTCTTCTTTGCACACGAAAAGGCTTAAAGCCCTAACCCAAGTAATATGTCCAGGAGATTTCCGCGTGGCTTGGTCATTTTTTGCACCGGCGATTTATTCTTTCTCTATATAAATTTCGGAAAAAACATCATTTTTACGAGTCTACCGTTCAAAAGCCATTTGACCAATTCCATTGCAAATCCAATTTTGTACATCTTAAGAGACTCTTCTTTGCTTAAAGCCCTAACCCAAGGAATATGTCCAGGAGATTTCCGCGTGGCTTGGTCATTTTTTTACACCGGCGATTTGTTCTTCCTCTTAGTAAATTTCGAAAAAAACATCATATTCACGAGCCTACCATTAAAAAACCATTTGATCAATTCCATTGCAAATTTAATTTTGTACAATTTGAGAGCCTCTTCTTTGCACACGAAAATGCTTAAAGCCCTAACCCAAGTAATATGTCCAGGAGATTTCCGCGTGGCTTGGTCATTTTTTGCACCGGCGATTTGTTCTTCCTCTTAGTAAATTTCGTAAAAAAAAACATCATATTCACGACCCTACAATTCAAAAAGCATTTGATCAATTACGTTGCAAATTTGATTTTGTACACCTTGAGAGCCTCTTCTTTGCACATAAAAAGGCTTAAAGCCCTAACCCAAGTAATATGTCCAGGAGATTTCCGCGTGGCTTGGTCTTTTTTGCACCGGCGATTTGTTCTTTCTTTATGTAAATTTCCGGAAAAAACATCATATTTACGAGCATACCATTCAAAAACGTTTTGATCAATTCATTTGCAAATTTGATTTTGTACAACTTGTAAGTGTCTTCTTTGCACTAAAAAAGGCTTAAAGCCCTTACCCAAGGAACATGTCCAGAAGATTACCGCATGGCTTGGTCATTTGTATGTAAATTTCTGGAATAAAATCATTTTCACGAGCCTACCATTCAAAAACCATTTGATCAATTTCGTTGCAAATTCGATTTTGTACAACTTGAGAGGGTCTTTTTTGCACATGAAAAGGCTTAAAGCCTTAACCCAAGGAACATGCCCAGGAGATTTCCGCATGGGTAGGTCATTTTCCAGCGAATTGCTCTTTCTGTATATAAAGTGTATACATTTTCGAGAAAAAAACATTTTTTTCGAGCCAAACAGTTGTCTTCTGACTTCATATAAATGTAAATCAGTGCTGGTTTGTGTGACAAATATGCGCTTGAGAGTAATCGATCTTGCAGGAATTTATCTCCTGTACAGAATGAAGGCAACGTACTAAAAAAAAAAACAACAAAAAAAACAACAAAAAAACAATCTAGTAGATTTTATTAGTTTAGAGGATCTTCTTCAACGCTATATAAGGCTTAAAGGCAAATAGATTTACTTCAAGAAAATTAAGGGCACCCTCTCCACGTTTAATATTCGCTATTCGAAGGAGATTTCCGCATGGGTAGGTCATTTTCCAGCGAATTGCTCTTTCTGTATATAAAGTGTATAAATTTTCGAGAAAAAAACATTTTTTCGAGCCAAACAGTTGTCTTCTGACTTCATATAAATGTAAAATGAAAAACGAGCTTGAGAGAGCATGATCTTGCAGGAATTTATCTCATGTGCAGAATGAACGCTACGTACTTAAAAAAACAATTTAGTAGATTGTATTAGTTAAGAGGATCTTCTTCACTGCTATATAAGGCTTAAAGGCACAGAGATTTAACTCTAGGAAAATAAGAGCAACTTCTCCACGTTCAATAGTCGCTATTCGGACCTACGATTTCTTAAGAAATTTCGTTAAAAACGCATTATTTTCTCGTGTCGACTGTTGAAAAACCCATTCGACCAATATTGTTGCAAATTCGATCTTGTACAACTTTAGAGGGTCTTCTTTAAACATTATAAGGCTCAAAGCCCTAATCCAAGTAATAGGTCCAGGAGATTTCCGCGAGGCTTTGTCATTTTTTGCACCGGCGATGTGTTCTTTCTCTATATCAACTGAAGGGTTTGCAAAATTATGTCAAATACTTTGAATGTCAAAAATGAATTAATGTTATTATGAAACTATAACTCTAAATCTTATAGAGACTCCACTGAGGTTTCTTTGACATGATGGGACTTAAAATATTTTTCCAGATAAATGTACTATTTTATGCATGTTAAGACCTCTCATCATTGTGCAAAAATTCAGACCATTCGCGCACTTCGTTTTTCCAGAGTTATTATTCAAATGGTAACAAATGACCAAAAATGAAAAGCGTTTAAACGCTTTTCACTGAAATCCGGCTAAAAAATTTATGAAAAAATATGATTTTCTATTCATTTCAATGTACAATTCGGAACTATATTTGCATATATTTCTGTTTAAAGTGCCGCAGCTCACTTATGTAAGAAATTCAAATTTAATGTTTTTAGGCTTTTAAACCTCAGTGGAGTCCCTTTAATTTGAACAGCTGCAGTTAAAAGGGTCCTGCTAAAATGCTAAAAGGCTGCGATGTAAATCTCAACCCAATAGGTACCACGTTATCCGTTAAAAATCAGCTTTAAATTTTTAACGCAGCTCGTGTGGCTTTTGATATATTCACAAGTTTCAATGTTTTCATGTATTTGTAAAATTGACTGTGAAAAAATTGAAATTGTTTAAGTCGTTTTTAAAGAAATATTCGGGTCGCACTTTGCACTAAAACATATATAGTCATTTATTTAATATACAATTCAAGCGTTTTAGAATTCCATTACTAATTGAGATTTAGCAGGACCCTGCAGCTGTTAAAATTAAGATTTCAAGTTATAGTTTCATGATAACTTTAATTTATTTTTGAACTACTTACAAACTTAAAGGTCATTTTAAACGGAACACTGATAAGGACACGAAATGTTATTAACCTTATCTAATACCAGAACACATCTGTTGTCATAAGTGATATTAGAGCTCGATATAAACGTTTTGTTTTGTTACGGGATTGTATTGGCTAGAGAAAAGATGATGTTTCCAGCAGTATTTGCAATGGCGGTATGCTATGTTGGTATGTGTACTTTTAGTTTGTTATTCATTCATATCTAACCGTTTTAGACCTATATAATTATGTATAAAGTTGGCCCAATAAAAGATGAATTCAAACTTTTACCTGTTACAATATTTCAAAGGTGACAATTAAAAAAAATACATTGCAACATTTTTTCAATTATTTAAGATTTTTTTAAGTCGCAAATCTTTGTACAATAAATTCGAACCGTTTTTCAATCAACGCATTGATAATATATTTACATGTCAGTTTGTTTTTTACTTTTAAAGAATATATTTTTTCCCGAAGATTTACTCTTAATTTTTCTGATTAAGATAGTATTCCACCATTAAATTATTAAGACATGCGAACATAAAATTAATTTATGCAACGAGTTCAATAACCTACACGATGATAATATTCTAATTATCATATACCAAAACCAAGAACCATTTTCACAATTTGACACGCTTATAATGTATCGCTAACATTTAGCGCGTATGAACGCTATTTTTGTAAAATGCAAGTGACATTACGTCAAAATATATTTACGCAAGTGCAATACCATTTTTACAGAGTCGAAAATTGGCATGGGTATTTAATAAATCAAATTCGTTCATCTTTATCACTATGAACAACAGTTATTAAATTATTTATCAGCTGATTAGATAGATATACATTGTATCCTTGTGCTTTTTTTATACTTGAATAAACACTTGTGGTTACAAAGCGTCTACTTGTTTGACAGTTGCGCACCCAGCAATACAAGAAGAACGTGATGTACCATGTGTATGTACGAAGGAATACAGACCTGTTTGTGGGGCCGATAAAATAACTTATGGAAATAAATGCATGTTGAATTGTGCGTAAGTGTCAACAACAAAAGATACTTCATTCTCCGGATTAGTTATTTCCATTGATTGTTTTGTGAAGCTTTATATAATTGTCAAATAAACATATCTTTGTTTATTTTCGTAACTTGTATTTCATGGTCATTATTTTTTGAAGCTCATTACATCGAAAAATAAATTGATGAAAATCTATTCCTGTCGAAAAAGTAATATTTTTCCGAAACTGATATAAAACAAATTTTCCACACGTTTTGGGGGTTATTTTCAGTGGTGTTGAACTATTGACCGTAGGAGAATGTACTCAAATGGAGAAAAGAGTTGTCCCATGCATTTGTCAGTTTATCTACATGCCAGTGTGTGGTGTTGATGGGATCACATATGCTAATGAATGTAATATGAAGTGCGTCAAGTAAGTTTATTTTTTTATTTGTCTTTATATTTTTATTTTGTCCTTATATTTTGAAAACTTACATTGTGTTACTGTTTAACTCATTCATATATCACATTACATTTTCATTTTTACCTCTGTTTATATTTGATACAATGATTTTAGACAGATGTGACAAATATCTAAAGGTTGATAATGTATTTATTTATTTACATTAAAATTTTAATCTGCAAATTCAGCTTTCACTTTAATGACTTTTGACCTCAGTTTCAAATGTATCACTACATAAATGAATTGAAACAAGAAAATTGTTTACCTTTATTGTGTTGTATGCGCATTTTTTATGGGAGTACAAATGTTTTAAGTACTTCTATAAAATATTTCAAATACGGTGCTTCAAACTGACCCTGTGGGTAAATGTTCCCTTATTTATCTGTAATTACAAAACTGTATTAAATAATCCGTTTTTTAAGTTTGTTGTTATTTTCAAACTCGCATTAATTAAATTGTTCATAAAAGAAACGAATCTGAAACAGATTTTTATGATTTTTGTTGAAAATTTCAAAAACGGCTTCTTTTTGTTTCTTTTTATCAATACAGTGTTACGCTTGGACATGAAGGGCCATGCGGCGGAACAGTTTAGTAGAACACCACTTATTCATTGATTTACTCACCAAGTTTTTCGAATTTGTTTCATCAAGGAAAACAATAAATAATTGAAGATTATAGACCGTGTTTTCTTTTATTAGTAGGACCAATGCATTACAAGTACACATGTTGCTGCAATGCAGCAATTCAGAAGCTCCGCGCATAAAAAAATGCGCTCATTACAGATACCTTACCAAATCATTCCTGCACACAGTCAATTTTCTATTTAGATTGAGTACTAGTGTACATTATTCCGGATGTTTTGTAAATCATTTAAATTTGCATAATTATCCTTATCGTATGCACTGTCCATGAGAGAGGGGCCAGATATTAATTTTAAAAAAATGCTTTCACTGATGCTTTCCTGATACAGAAAGTATTTCCAATACAAACAAAACTTACAAGACTTATAATTGTAATGTGACATGGCACTAGTGCATTATTGTCACTACAGTACAAAATATTAGATGAGATAAAAAATATCACAGCATGTACATTTTCTATTTCGCCTATAGTTCTACTCATTTTCTACAAATATCCACAACTAATCATGGTAAGAAATAAAAAATTCCATAAACAAAAACTTTCATCGACCTTATTTTTCAAAATGTCCGTTAGGGGTTTCGCGGCAAATGGAATATCATTTTATAACAAGAAAGGCATTGATGCAAAGCATCAAAGGGCGTCCATGCAAGAAATGCAGCAAGTGACGATGAATTATTAGACATCTGATGACCAGATATTCTTATAAACTTTTCAATGCTTAATTGGATTTTACCAGAATTGTATATGTATATCATAGATGAATAAGCGGACGAAAGATATTGTTCATCATGAACTTTGGTAGGTTTGCTAGAGATAAGAATATTAAATGTATTTTCTTTGGAACATACAAAACAGTAGTCAAAATGAACAAAGTCTGTTTTTTATTATTATAATTGTAACAAATATACAAACAGTATTTAAAAATAGTAACAAAAGGGACTAATATAGCAATATTACATGCATGTTCTTCATGTCAAATTAAGAAAAATGATTTTTTTTGATACCTGGGACTTAAGATACAGTAGCTATATTTCAAGACCCAGATAAATACTGAAAGAAGAACACACACTGAAATGAAAATTTGGGATGAATTTCAGAAAGATCAACTTCAGGATTTTTTGCAATACGCGTTAACAAAAACAATTGTACAATAAAATCATGAACAATTTTGCATGACATGTTGATATAGTGAAACATTATAATTATATCAATGAAAGACTGTTACCTGAATTTTAGACAAGTATTCATTTTCATGCGAGTCAAAGATATAAAAATTACTTGACATAGGTTATAAAAAAAGAGCTATTGTTAATTGATTTATTGGGAGATCAATTCACCATTTTGTTGAATTACTTCAAAATCCTCGTCTGACCCACCAGTGTTTTTTTCATTCCTATGGCCTCGTGTTAAAACTTCATTGTTAAAATGTCACAGTATTCGGCAAATCAACATTCCACTCAAACCACTATAAAACCATTGCCTTCAAACAAAACTTCCATTAACGACAGCCTAATGCTCATTACCTACTGCTTAGTGGACAGTCTGATGCGCACTGCCTACTTCTAACTGCTTATAATTGACAGTCTAAGTCTATATATGGATCAGTTACAAAGTATTCCGAATTTACACACAGATACGCCCGCCATTTTGTTGAAAAATCTGCTGAGGTAAATTTAACGAAAAACAATGGTAAGTAAATTAAAAAGGATTATTTTATAATTAAGCCTAATAATTAGTAATTTTGAATTCATTGCAATGACTCGTGTACGTCCCACCCGTGCACATTGCTTTGATTACATGTATGTTATGAAATGGTTCCACGTGCCTCATTGCACAGGTGATTGACAAATTGTCAAATATAGGACTCGTTTTGGGGTAATCAACTTAATACATTTGTAAATTATTCAGAAAGAATCTGTATTCAGCATTTAACATTGCTTGAGCCCACTATACCTTGGTTGAGAGGCGGCCATCTGGACCATTTTGCTAACAGTACCTTATTTTTGTCTAGAATTTCATTGTTAATTAAACTTTCATTTGGCAATATAATACATTTTTAGAAAAATATCTGTAATATACTGGTGAACTTTAGGCTAAACATTCGTGTCTGTTATTATCATGTGTGAGTTCATTGACGAGATCATTTTGGTTCAGTTTTCATTGGCGTATATATGTACAATTTGTTAAGTTGATTGTACACTTGATATTTTGTGTTGCAAAGATATGAGCTTTGAAGGTTAATTATAGAATCAATTTTATTCTAGTACAGAGGATGAAAATCTGACAGAAACAAAACTTATACGTGAATCCTACTCTAACTTTGACTTCTCAGACAAGTAAAAGAACCAATACACTTGTGTGAAAATATTGAAATTACAATGGAAGATAAAGAGGACTACATAAATGTGTTGGTTCTTATAGACGAGTTTAACTCAGCTTCTGAAAGCATAAACAAAGACAAACCTGACTGCATTCAAATTGCTAAAAAAAAGTTATTTCATTGACATAAAGAGTTAAAACATGAAGTGATAAATTCAAGTTTGGATCAGTTTATTTTACTTTTATGAAAAGCCATCGTAATTCTCTTGTTTAAATTCAATTGAACTACTGAAAACTATGTGAATTTATAGATTTTTGATTATTTAAATTTACTGAAAATAAACCTTTGTGATAGACAAAAAAGATCTTGTTAATGTTACAATATGATTTTTGAATTGTTTTTTTTTTAATCCCTTTTTATACTTTTTATTATAATCTTGTCTGCTTAGTTTTTGTGGTTATGTTTTTCTAATTCTTTTAACAATAACCGCAGCAAGTCTGCTTTCTGCTTTCGTATTTGCCAGAATCATTCAATCAAAGTTATTACTATTTTTGTCACCTTTTAGAGGTTTGACAACTAAAGTAAACAGTTTTAAGACATCAAGATAGTGTAGAGTTTCAATATGATATGAAGCATTTTTAAGTTACCTTTCTTATTTCGACTATATCACTTTTTATTATACCTCAATATATCATTCAATATAAAAAGACCCATATGCCTATTATGTGTTCTGATTGAATATCACCCTCCCAGGATATATATTTCCCCGAGGAATATTTCTTATATCACCCTGGGGCACATTACTGTTGCATAACTCCATATTCAAATGCATATCCAAATTAAATTGTCAAAATGATTATGTGGATTCTATTTATTTCTTTGACTGCTTCTTTATAAATGTTGTAGTTGTAGGTCTTTCGGTTACATAAAATAAATATCACATGACTGTCAGTGTGATAGAGAATATTGCTAAACCTTGACTATACGACAATATCCTCTACCAACCCGACAGCCATGTTTTATTTATGTACAATTGTAGAATGTATATACATTAATCAAATATCATAACAATTTTATTATTCATAACAGATCTTTTAATTATGATTCTGCTTTTATGTTAATTGCTTTCCCCGAAACTATGCAAATACTTTTAAAAAATACGGATATTTTACAGGCGTCTCATAATTTTTATTCTAAATAATGGTGTATACAAAAATAATAACTTACAGGTCACATTATTGGGACAAAACATACTTTTTATGTGGTGTTATAATCAATGAGTGTACTTTGTTTGTCGTTTTTATTGTAAATAAAAGAAAACAGTTCTTCAAAAATAAATTTTAAAATCATAATTTCTTGTAATTTTGTTTATGATTAGCTCCCCGGCCAACAAAAGTTTGCCAAAATGAAATGACAAGTTTACATTACTATTAACACAATTGATGGTTATATATATGTTAACCATAAAGCAATGTTTGTTTGTTGAATGTTGTAATATGGCCATGTTAGTAACAATATTAAACATTGTCCACATTTAAAAAGTGTCTTAGTCCATCAATTTTATTTCATAGGATAGCGAAAAGTATGTATAAAGAAGATGAAATTATGTTATATTATCAATTTCATAAGAAATCTTTGAAAATACATCTGAAGCTCCAACATATGGCAAGTTAACCGCGTATATTTCTTCCAAACAACTTTACAAATTAATCTGAACACTCTTCTCTTAAGACAATGAATCAAAAAGAATAAATTGATTTTCTTTAATGCCCTTTTCACAAGTAATAAATCAAAATGTAACATAGGCAATAATGCAAATTCTAAGAATTCAATTTGGAAGGCATTACATGGACTGAAATTTAGGATACTGCAATTCATCATATCGTAAAACAAATACTATCATTACTTTGTATTTATAATGCCCACTTAACTCAAAGATCTTTCAATGATTTTATTATGAATCGACTTCCCAATAATTATACAATAATTGACATGTTAGTCATCATGCTCCTGTCGAAGAACTTTTTTAACATCTATAGTAACATTTTCCAGTGAAATCTAATGCATTGTTAAATTTTGATATTGAAGTAAGGTCCACTTTTATCAGAAAATGTATCAACTTTTTCAGATAAAACTAAACGGTCCCATTATGATTTGGACCATGAAGTGTGTACTCTTAGTACGTTTATCAGACTACACCAACTAGTAATCACAGACGTCACTTTATACCTATACCATAATACTGGTATATATAATGTTGTCTGAAATTCAACAAATATATTATGTATGAATATCTATTTATATCGAAGTCCTAGATATAAATATATCTTTGTTTTGAGCGCAATGTTCTTGATTATTGTTTACAAAAGATTTTAATCATTATTTTCTAAATGTAAACATAAAATTGACAGTTGTAATTTGAATGTACAATAACGACGTACATGGCATTTAAGGGCTCCGGGCAAAACTTCCATTAAGCGCTATAGTTAAAGGCTTTGATAATTATCATTTAAGGAACAAACATTATAATAAACATGTTATATGGTAAATGCATCTAAATGACTGTCTTTTACAAGCATATATTATCAAACATGACATATTAAGAGCTCAGAGCTTCAAATGCAGATTTCCACATTTGTTAACAGCTATTGTTGGCAGATTGTATATCACTCTACTGATAAGGGGAGAAAACTGCGTTTAAAATTATTGTGGTTTAATGTGATCAAAGAGTTACTTCCTTCCCGGTGATGACATCATGATTTATATGATACATTACAACACACGGCTTGACGTGACGTCAAGAGAGCGAGATTGAGGAGCGCCACACGAGTCGACATTTGATACACTCTTAAACTTGTATGTATAATCAGGATACTTAACATAGTAATATTAATTTTGTTTATTATCTGAAAGTCAGACGCTCATAACGAAGTCACGTCCTTTTATTTAGCGTCTATGATTAGATTTCAGGACATTTAAAAATTACGGTGGTGATATACTTATCGTGTCAGTCGTATTAGAATATACAAACAATTGACGTCTGTGAGCATATTATCATAGTAATACCCAATACAAATTAACAGGATTTTAACTTATTCCATGAAAGCTTAGAAAGAAGCCCTTTAATTAATTAATTCTATCATTATATACGTTCGTTTTATTCCTACATCTTCGTCTTAGCGCATTCTCAGTAACTCCCCTATCATATATTACGGTAAAAGAAATACCCAAGTTGATGCCTGCTTTCTTTTGAAATCGTAAAATTAGATCGCTGAGTCGTGCTCTCTATTTTTGTTATTTTTATTACATAACGTTGAGTTTAACTTGTTCTACAAAATTGTTCTTTTTAGTATGGCATAGCATGATAAATGTTACAACAATATAGTATTATGTAGTTTTAATGTTTAGACCAGATGACTTAAACTACAATGAAGGTATAATATATTCTGAAAATCATTACAAAGCTGTTACTTATCTCAGTTATTGTTAATAAAAGAAAAGTCTGTAAATATGAAGTGAAATCCATAATTATTTTACTTTGTCCGTATAGAAAAATAGAAATTTATGCTATCTATTTTAAGATTCCATATGTTACACGAATAAGCATTTACATGTATTCGAAATAGGCTCCTTCTTGAAATATAGAGATATTGTATCCTCTTTTTAGAGAAATATTCGGAATACTTTTTATCCCACAGGAACTTGTTTCGAGCTTTGTACATGAATAGGGTATTTCAGTACTATATAGAGGTAACCCGACAAAAATGGCGGATGTTTTGTCCCGTAGACGCCCTTTTTCAGTTTTTATATTCCATTTTGTTAATATGTGGTATTAAATTCACCATTTAAGTTAGCTTATCCCATGCGGTGTACAGAAAGCGTCAAATTATCAAAATTTAGAGAAATAAAATTGACAAGAGATAAGCAGTTCGAACCAGCCCAGGGTCCAGCTTATTTAATTAACTCAGTGATGAACATGTTTTCCAGTCTCAAACAGCCATTTCTTTAAGATAAAGTAAGTGTAGGGTACGGTTTTATACTAATGCTTATTGTTAATATTTTTTGAAAAAATCTAGAATAAGGTGAATCGTGTTAAAAAAGATTCAATATGTGCCAGAATTCATAAAACAAGAAATTAAAATGAATATGAACAGTTCTGTCTACGACAAATGTTCGACTGGTTATCAAAACATTTTTGTTAAGTCTTTGGTGATCGGAATTGATTTGTGCTTTGAATAACAATATAACAATAATAAAATCTCTAATTTAAGTTTGAATTCTTCAGCACTAAATTTTCTCTTTACTTCCATCTGCATGTGTTATTGGCGGCGGATAAATTGCCATTTCTGGCGGACCCATTTGATTTGCGTAGCTGGTTTCAGGTCCAGAGGGATAAGGTGGAGGTGCAACCGGCTGTTGTGTTGTAACATCTGAGACAGGATTGGTACCAGACTGGCCAGTTTTGAATGGAACGAAAGCAGGTTGTTGAACAATGACCGTGGTGGTCGTTGAACCCGGGAATGCAGTTTCCCCTTCATTATCACCGATCCTATTTTTATTGTAATATTCGGCTGTAATATAACATGCACAAATATCATATATATGTATATGTCGCACTAAAAATCGGCATACTGAACCGGTTTGTGATGAGAACAGAAACAGACATTGTCTGTCAGCATACTGAACCGTTTTGCGATGAGAACAGAAACAGACGTTGTCTGTCGGCATACTGAACCGGTTTGTGATGAGAACAGAAACAGACATTGTCTGTCAGCATACTGACCCGTTTTGCGATGAGAACAGAAACAGACGTTGTCTGTCAGCATACTGAACCGGTTTGTGATGAGAACAGAAACAGACATTGTCTGTCGGCATACTGAACCGTTTTGCGATGAGAACAGAAACAGACGTTGTCTGTCGGCATACTGAACCGGTTTGCGATGAGAACAGAAACAGACGTTGTCTGTCGGCATACTGAACCGGTTTGCGATGAGAACAGAAACAGACGTTGTCTGTCGGCATACTGAACCGGTTTGCGATGAGAACAGAAACAGACGTTGTCTGTCGGCATACTGAAACCGGTTTGCGATGAGAACAGAAAGACGTTGTCTGTCAGCATACTGAACCGGTTTGCGATGAGAACAGAAACAGACGTTGTCTGTCAGCATACTGAACCGGTTTGCGATGAGAACAGAAACAGACGTTGTCTGTCAGCATACTGAACTGGTTTGTGATGAGAACAGAAACAGACATTGTCTGTCAGCATACTGAACCGTTTTGCGATGAGAACAGAAACAGACATTGTCTGTTCAGAGACTTAAATCAGAGAAGGAATTATTTGGGAAAAAATACGTATTTCAGCAGTATGTGCGTTCTACTATGAAGCCATTTTTAAGTGAAATTGTCCATAATAAAAAGCCTGCTATACCATAAATGATTATGTTGATAGTATTTGGTATCCTACGTGAATAAATGCATAAAAACACAAAATAGTTAGGCTTAATATAAATATCGTTGGTAAGTGTTAGATATAAGATATCTGTATAAAGCAGATAATAAACCATTCAATAATAGCATACCTGTAATTTTCAGCTTGTAAATAGACATACTTAATCACTAAACTTTTTTTAGGTTTATCTCACAAATCTTAAATTAAGTGCGATATTTGAAATGCCTATCCTTGAACAGTAATATTTTGTTATACTTCTTTTATATATCATACCCATTATCTGGGTATCTTGAACAATCAATTTTGGCATGCAACGAGAAATATTTCATTTTTAATAGCTGACACAAAGGTTAATAAATGTAATTTTCTTAGATATTTCCGCCTATTCATTGAGCGAGTACCTCACTTGTACATATAGTAAATATAAGTAATTGACTAACGAACATGGCTTCACGTTCAACGAAAGAATGACTATGAAAACAAAGTATTCAAACATTTAAACTTACAACTCGTAATTAGGTACGAAACACCCCAATACCAGCTCCAACAAAAGCCAAGAAGACAGAAGACTGCTGCAACCAATTGGAAAAAGGAAACTCCAATTGATAAACAACAGCTTTTGGCTTTTGATAAATCTTTCATGTCATCAGTTTTTGCACAGCACAATGAGCCAAACCCCGCGATTAATGTTCCTGAAAATGCACGAAAAGAGTCTTAGTTCTGACTTCCAAAATTGTATATGAAGCTTTTTAAAATTGTTTCCCTTCATCTGTTGCGGCATTACCCGTCCTATCACATATTAAAATGTATACGCTTATAACCCTTAGTTAAAAATGGTTCTCTATAAACATGAAAGAGCAATTTGTTTGGTGACTTTAATCTAAATATGTCTACTTATTTGCAACATGATAATGCAATAAGCGATAGAATAATTATAACTCAAGTACGGATGAAAACTGTAGTAGAATTTTAGTTTTGTCACAAGTAAATATGTTTAATTGCTGGTGTTTTATTGTCTACTTGCGATTGTCTTTGGTAACATATGTTAAGATAAATAATATAAAAGAGATGTCAGTCTGTGTGTACGAGGGATGATCAAAAATAAACCGGACTGAGACTGTCAATTAAACAATTTTCATCACATCACTTTTTGTTATATATCACACTTAATCGGAAAACAAGATCTGTTAACTGATGCTATATCTAATCTGATATCGCAAGTAGCTTGTCCGTAACAGCTAATTTTAAAACCATGGTAACGCACACCCGGCGCAATGCGTAAATTTGCGCTGACATCAGGCGCTATATGGTGCGTATATTTTACAATACGGCGTTTTTAGATTTTAAAATACGCCAAAACGTCATGAGCCATATCTTAGACGTTGTCAAAAAACATTACTTCATTTAAACCATATTTATATTTGCAATCACAATTCAATCGTCACTTGTTAAAGAAAAACTCACATTAAAAGTATATCGTCCGAACGTCTCAAAAATCGATCAATAAGAAAAGTTTGTTAAAAGTAAGGCGAGAAACTGTTTAAATCGTAGAAAAAGATTATGGCTACAAACGGAAAAGATCCAAAAAGCCACAACGTAGTTTTTGATTAGCATAAACGATTTAGAAAGGGTAATAGAGAAATGGAAAACAAGTAAGGGAGAGGCAAATAAGAAGAACATTTCAAGGACGTTGGTGACGTCAATCGCCGAGACGTTCAAAAATGACAGTCGATTGACTGCGGAAATTGTCAACTATGTTCGACAGTAGCTAAGTGACGGTATAGTCAACACTGAGGATTTTGAAATGATAATTGCTTATGTATTAATTACATATATCATATTTTTGGTTTACAATTATATAGATTATTTTATTCTTTTACATAAGAGTCTAATGGAGAACTTGTGTCAAAAATTTAACAGTCAGGGTTCAAAATCGATTATGCGTTTAATTTATTTTAAAATAATAGCAATTTTGTTCTTAGTTGTTCTTAGTTGTATTATTCTTTTATTTTCTCGAATGTATGTATGATACACTTATATTCAGAAACATTGTATCAATGAGAGACATAATATTTGGGATTTGTCCAGCAATCAAGTTACAGAAGGAAATCACGGAAGTTTGCGTCATTAAAGGAGCTCTTTATCATCGTCCATTCTATTACAATACAATATGACTTGTGCAGATATATATAGGCAGTCGATCCGCTGCCATGAACAACATGTGGAACACGTATTGGCCTACTTCGTAAATGAGTAAAAAAACTGCTCCGTTAAAGTCAATACGCTTGTGACGTCGTTAACGTCAATTTTAAAGTTATACCGTGCGCCGCATTGCTTTACATGTGCATGCCAATAACAGCATAACTTTTTTATTTGTTAATATTTTTTGTTGGTATTTTTTGCATCATTTAGGGGATAGATTCCAATTTATGCTCCGTGTATTTTTATGTAAATGCATTTGACAGGCAAAGAATGATCTACAAAGTCCGGTTAATTTTTGATCATCCCTCGTATTAATTAAGCTTACAATGTTGAACTGGTAGATATTAAGTTGGTATTTCGTGACAAGTCAGGGAGAATAATGTGTGGAATGGCTATATAGTGACTTACTAAGAAGATACTATTCAAACCTCATGATGGCAGATATTTGTTTAGATGTCTAGGTCAAGTTCCAATATTGGTCACCTGGGTAAAAAAACCAGGTCACACTGCTCAAATATGGATACTCGTTGTTAACACTCTAGTGGTCACATTTTTGACTCACCTGTCATAAAACCTGGTCAGAATGCTTGTCTAGGTAATTCAGTAATTTTAGATTTCTGTTACCACCGCACTTGAGCCAGTAATTCGTTGTACTATCTGAATACTAGTAATGACAGATGTATCAACTAGTCTGAACTAGTCGCATTGACAGAATATGTTTCCACCACCAGGATAATGGGATTTAATTGATGTTATTTCATGAATTAGTTCAAACGAATATAGCCAACTGAACTCTTTTTGTTTGTTTTTTTGCTTTGTTGTTGCTTATAGGATGTTGTTTTAATTATGTTGTCGTTGTTGTTGTTGCTGCTGCTGCCACTTCTTTTGATGATTTTTGTTTTATTTATCCGCTACCGTTTATTTAAATCTTACAACCTAACCGGTTTTAATACAACGCATAATATTGAGTTATCAGGGGATACAACTTACACATGAATAAGTCATAATAGCGTTTTTACAAATAAATACTAGTAGGCTGTTAAAATTGAATTTTGTATATTTTTATACCAAAGTTGTAATGTACGGAATGCCGTTAGGGCCATCGCCTATGAATGTGTTTATCTAAAACGCGATAGTCGACAGTACGATGGTGAAAACGCGAAATCACGAAACTACGATGGTGAAAACGCGAAAGCACGATGATGAAAACGCGATAGTACGATGATGAAAACACGACAGTACGATGATGAAAACGCGATAGTACGATGATGAAAACACGACAGTACGATGATGAAAACGCGATAGTACGATAGTGAAAACGCGATAGTACGATGATGAAAACACGACAGTACGATGATGAATACGCGAAATCACGAAACTACGATGGTGAAAACGCGACAGTACGATGGTGAAAACACGATAGTTTATCGCGTTTTCATCATCGTAGTATCGTACTGCCGCGTTTTCATCATCGTACTTTCGCGTTTTCATCATCGTGCTTTCGCGTTTTCACCATCGTAGTTTCGTGATTTAGCGTTTTCACCATCGTACTATCGACTATCGCGTTTCAGATCAACACATTCATAGGCAATGGCCCTAACGGCATTCCGTAGTAATGTTTAAATAATACTTCTTTTTGTACTTAAAGGTTTAACATAATCAAATTATGTTGAATTTCGTAATATAAAGACCAGTCCGTAACAAGCATATCAACGCAGAGATCGCTTGCAATTATCTTTTGAAAACTTTTTTAAAATAGCAGTTGACCTTAATAAAGAAGGTACATTTTGTTATATGATATATAATCACAAATTATACGTTTTTCAATACTTTCTATGGTCAAACAAATACATCGTCCGACTATACAATGAATAGGTGTGTAATTGGAATGATAATAAGATTTCTTCGTGGAAAGAAAACAAATTTTTTTTTTTTTATTTTTTTTTTTTTTTTTAGCTTTGCATTTGGAACAGTTTATTCGAATCATACGAGATTAATACATGTGTAGCAAAATATAGAACTTGTGCCACAAACAAATGAATATAAAACCTGATCAAGCTACACTTCGATCCGAGAATGGAAAGACTGCATATTTTTAATAAAGATAAAAATGATATTTCAAAAATGGTATGGAAAAGAAAGAATTGATTAAGTCACCAAAATTAAAAATACTTTCGGTTTAGTCCAATGAAAGACTAGAGTTAACTTACATAATTATGGCCTATCTCTGGCATTGATATCAACCCAGGTTAAGTTGACCTTGTTGACAGACGATATCGTTTAGTTATCAATTTTTATATAGTTTTATATTAATTTTTTTATATAAAAATGGAAAGTTCAAACATTAAACCAGAAGCAAATTCATTATGAGAAGTTTAAGGTCCTATTTCAATGCACATCCACTATCGTTACATACATGCAAGTATACATGATATGACATTGCCTTCAATAAAAAAGTACAGATCATGATCTGAATTATGATTTTTAAAAAGTATTTTAAAACATACCCAATCCAGGGATAAGAAAATTGAAAACGCAGCAAACAACCGCTATAGGCATTGGTAAGGCTGGAATCCACATCCGCTCCATCTTTCCAGGTTTATAGGAGCCAGACCCCTTTCCGGCCCCCATTCCAGAACCGTCACCTTGACCCATGATTGTAACAGAGGCTAAAATTTCCACACAGCTATATTTAAATGGAGAGGAAACTATGACGTCATACATTTAAGATATGTACAAGAGATTAGTTACCACGCAAGTCCATATTTTTCGTGAGATTTCCCGACACCATGTTCGTCTTACAAATAAATTAAGTTGAAAGTTTATATACTTATTTTTTGTTTACTATTTCTTGTGTGCAAATATGCTACAATTGGAGAAAAGAATATTAAAATAAAAGCTGATTTAGACGGAAACGACCATCGTCAATGGTCAATTCATCTCGAGCAAAGGATTGTGGGTCTGGTCGTGAAAATATTTTATTATGGGAGTTTCTTATCCCTTAGTATATAAGTCTCCGAAATTACGTAGAAATAATTGGTTATTCTAAAACGCCTATGTGGATTGATAAGCAGATGTTCAAAATCTATTCCCTGTGTACATATGACAAAAAACAAATGCTTTTAACTTAAAAAAGCGCGCAATCAGTCTACGACCAATAATTTGTTAAAAATAAATAAATATTGTCATTCTTCAGCAAGAACAGTTAATTTATATTCTATTACAGTTTTCTGTATATTTTTGTGTATTTAGACTATTTCCTATGACTCTAGAGACATGTTCTTAAAGACGATGGTTTCCTTTTTTGTAATTATAAATGATAAAACAGAGCCATTTATCTTGCTTTGAGCCTATATTTCTTACTCCACTTCTTTATACAATGATTTTGTTACTTATTCTTTAAAATCTTAAATTCTTAATGAGCGTTTAAACAATTAATTTTTTTTTGGTCTGAGAATTCATTTTTAAAATATTATTCAATTAGAGTGAAATATTATTAAAGCCTGCATTTTATACACAGTAGAAAACGCCCCTGTTTGCCCTCCTTAAGTGCCAAGACCTCTTGCCCAACGAAGAGAAAGACAAAGAATTAATTAAATGAAATTAAGAATATACGTTTTTATTCAAAATTAATTATTTATATCTCGTTTGTGTTTATTTATATTTTAACATTGGTAATCTAAATAATGTGTGTTTTGAATATAATTTCAAAAATAAAACTTTAATAAATTTACAAAAAAAACTTACATCGTTTCCTTTCCGCTCTTTACCCTTTGTAGACCTAAAATCTCGTTAAACTTATATGATTTAAAATTGTTTCGAAAAATATCTTATTTCGAAATCGTTAATACTTGGCATTGATTTTAAACTCTTATTGAATTATTGTAATTGCTCTTGACTTTTGCATAGATATAACAAACCTTTTCCCCGATAATTGCTCTTGCCAAAAAATAACCAAAAATTGAGGACAAGAACGATAAGTTTCAATTATTATAATTTGTTTCTCAAGTACGTGTGTGTGTGTGCATGCCTGAATGCGTTTATCTGTATGTAATAATTATTTTTTTACGTGAAACTAACACTGACATATCTAAGCTTTACGGGTAAACAAGTACCTAATTAATGGTACTCATAGGAACCTGTGTTAAACCATATACACTTAAAAAATGTTGCCTTTTACAGACATCGAACACAAAGTGTTCATTGACAAGCGATTTCGGTTCAGATACCTTATCTATTCGGCTATTGAGGTCCCCTTTTTCTAAGGTTTAAGAACTTATAGAGAGTTAATAGTGTGAAGATGGCAAACCAAAACCTTGTTTGAAAACATTATAATGGAGAGCTTGGTGGCGGTGGTAAAAATCAGTCTGCAAGTGTAATGAAAATTCGACACATCCAGCAATATTGTTACACACTCGTCAATTATTCTATCAAACTATTCTTTGAAAGAGAGCGAAACGATAAATGAATAGATGAAAACAACCATTTGAGTTTACATATGGTGATTTTATTTTAAAAAATAATGTAAAAAGCGAAATATTAATAAACTGAACTATCACAGAGCGAAAGGAAATAGTGAATACAAATAATACCGAATCAGAATGCATAAAATATTTTACAAAATAAAATACAGTGACAATGTCTATAAGCAATAACGCAATCAATCAAGAAAAATAATGGATTCGAAGGGGATTTCAGTAAAAAGCACGTCATACAATAGCAAAAGACGGTTTTTTTTTGTTTTTTTTTAAAAAAAAAATAAAAAAAAATTAACAATCATATACAAAATAAAAATATTCAAAATTCTAAACAAAACCATAATATAGATTTTTTTTCAAATTTTAACTATTAAAGGAACCATCCAAAAAAAGTCAAAATAACACCATCAAAGACAAAAAGCAACAAAAAGAATTACAGTCATCAAGATTCCGGATAGAGATGACAGGAAGTTATTAATTTTTTACTTATATTAACAGTTTATAGTTCTAATTTTAGATAAGTCATATATATAAATATAATATTCATGTAGATTCAATACTAAATTTATTAAACTTGTTGAATAAAACGTAAATTATAATCTTATCCATTGAATTTAGTATTTCAAAATCCTCTAGGTATAACAGTTATATCCTGTCTTGACTTGGTGTTCCAGTATCCATATAGCACTAACCTCTAAATCAAACCTTGAATTCATATAATATCTAAATCAAACCTTGACCTGATACAGTTGCATCTAATCAAAACTTAAATTAAAGTATCAATATAACAGTAATATCAAAATTAAACAGAAAATCGATTTAAATCAAACCTTGAAGTAACGTATCCACACAACATTTATATATTCATTCTAAACCAATATTAAGTCCTTAAATTTTTTTTCATGTTTTACATATAAAACTAAAGAGACGTACTTTAACTAAGTAGAAACACACACACACACACACGCATGCACACACGCACGCACGCACGCACACACACACACACACACACACACACACATATATATATATATATATATTTAACAGCATTCTGAGATTCAAAATATATCAAATGATGATACACTACCAAAATACTTTTAAATAAAAAATAGAGTGCAACCTCAGCAAAGCTGATACCCTATGTACAGCAATAACCTCTTTATAACATCAGTATTATGTCATCCCAGAACAGTTCACAACAACCCTAATCTTGATAGAGCAAAACCTCAAAGCAGCTATTAAAATCTTGGTCTTTTGGTCCCAAAAGTATCTTCCAATAATTTTAGTAACTGACAAGTGTAGTCAAAACAATATTGATATTTTTCTGTACGAAAAGTATACAATAAAGAAATAAAATACGTCCCCCCCTCCAAAAAAAAAAACAACAAAAAAAAACCGATAATAACGAAAATAAAAAAATACATTTTAATGAATACGTAATATTCAAACAAAAACAAGGTCCTTTTGACGCGGTAACATTTACACAAAAATCATCGTGATATTTTCACAAAATCTATTTGACAACGTGATTAATATACAAAATCAATTTGATAATGTGACATTTATGCTTAATAAATATAATCAATGGCTCAGCAAAGTAATGAATGAATCCCTATCTTATATACAAAGACAGCAAAGTTGAACCAATACAAGTTCGGGTTATATTGCTGTATATGAACAGTGCCATATCACCTGGCTTTTGTTTGTAAAAGGCTATACAAATTATCAAAAATCTTTATGACTAACTATATTTCTGAAAAAAAAACATAGTCTTAACTGCAAGGTTGTGTGTTGTTGTAGGTATTGTTCTCGCTTATATTTGTTTAATGTTTAATATTTTACTAAGAGTTGCTCTATATGGTTTCAATTAATATCATCAATAATGAAAAAAATGTAAATTCCAGAACGATAAAAGAACTTTTTCTTATGTGACGCATTTTGCCTAAGCCGTCTTATATATCAAAATAAATGCAATATGTGATGGTCATACAACTTAACGTATACAAAGACACTATCCTGCAAAGTGACAAGATATGTGACAAATATCGATAAAAAAAACTGATAACAAAACAAAAAACTTTTGTGTCTTTAAACTACTTTAACCTCCGCATCCACCCCCACATCCACCACCCCCACATCCACCACCACCACATCCACCACCAGCACATCCGCCACCTCCACCACATCCGCCCCCTCCTCCACACCCGGCCCCTCCTCCACCACAACCACCACCTCCACCACAGCCCCCGCACCCACCACATCCCCCGCCATCATACCCGCCATCATACCCGCCACCACCACATGCAGCACAGTCACATCCCGCATCTCCCTCGGCGTCACCGTCAATTCCAGAGAACTCCATCACATCACCATCCCCACCTCCACACATAGCACATATATGTGCTCCGTAGTATGAATGCATGAAATAATTTGTCGGGGTACTCCAAAGCAAGCCTGCGGCCATGATAAATGCCATATCGTCTGACGGAATGGTAGTGATTGGTCTTGTTCCACGAGTTGAAGTGGTTGGTTTGACTTGTTGGCCTTCTCTCCATCCTTTTGGCCTTGGGACGCACAGCACGTGAAGCAAAGATACCGAAAATGCTAGGGCAATGTTTTCCGCAACTTCGTTACTAGAGGAGTCGATATTCAGTATACCTTTCATAAGGTCAATAGAAGCAGATTCTAAATTGAAAACATAGTCTTTCCGAAGATATCCCAGCTCAATTGTTTTTTTCCTGCCAGTTGAAAATTTGTAAAACATCAAAAATAAAGTTCCCGGACTCCCAGCAACACCTCTTTTCTCTACAAAGAATAAACAATTCAACAAATTTAGTTTGGAAACCCCGCCAATTCTTTACTCTTTTCGGGAAATGAAAATTATATAAATTGAGCGAAAATCTTTTTCAGAATTTATAAAATGTCAGTAAATTAAATCATCTAGTACTAACAAATCTAATGAAGGTGTGCATGAAACTTGAAAGCATTGTAGAATATAAAAGTACACTTATGTTCCAAATGACGTATATAAAGGTTGAAGTTAATAATCTGTTTTTAAAATTTTGAAATCATAAAGGTTACACTTGTTATTTTTTACATATACATACGTCTAGTCCCAGCAACGCCTCGTTTAAAATCTTTCCATCTTCCGGTGAGAATACCCCAGTCTCCGTCATTGTTTTTCAAAAGGACGGCTCTTTCTCCCAGTACAGGATTTAGCGTAACAACATCATGCTGAACCTAAAACGAGACATAAATACTAATTCGAATTACCTGCTTCTTTGTACATAATGACAGGCTTCGGGCGCTAACTATGGTCACACTTTTTTGACTAGACAACACTAAAAGTAACAATGTTTCGTCTATAGTAAGGTCACAAATTCACTCCAGTCGAACCATAACCACTTGCGCAGGCTCTCTGATTCGTTCCAAGATTCTGACGATCTCCGAAACTGAACATAGGCAGTGCATCGACTAGAGCCCAGCCAAACAAGTGTTTCTATCCGCGGACTGTAACTATCTATATATTTACATTTGAAACTAGAAACAGCGCCCTGCCACTAACTGAAACTAGCAACTGCGCCCTGTCATTATCCTTATATTTACATTTGAAACTAGAACTACTCTTTCAATATCGATAAATTTACATTTAAGGCTAATAATATATTTTTTATGGTTTTATATCATAAATATGATGCTAAAATTAAGATATATTGAAGTTCAAAAAATATTTCTGATAAACATATTAACATATTTAACATTTCATATAAATAAAGGGAGGTAATAAAAATTGATTTTCTATTAAGTCAAATTTTTCAATAAAAAATGCATACATTTATTTTAATGATTACACATAATATTTAGAAATATTTGCAGTTCAATTTACTAATTACTAAACGTGAGGGGTGTTAAACTTTCCATTTTCCTTTTTCTCAAGTAAACAGACTGTCTATAAAACTGAGTTTGCGATTGCAATTTTTAAAATATTTTTTAGATTTCAATGCCTTGAAGTGGTCTCCAGTCTTTCCAGTAATTTTATATATGCAGTTAATGCAATATTCCCACTAAAAGAAATAATATTGAACAATTGTGTGCATGTAGTCGAAATAAAATATCAACTCTATTTCCATAATTTACAAATTTAAAATAACTTTAAACTTTGGTATTCTAGAGATTATCAGCTTAACTTCAAGTCTTTGTAAGTGAATTAATACACAAGACAATATAACAAAAGCTATGCACCATTTTTAGAAAACAAAAGCGATTCAATAAGATTTGAAAATGCTGGTAAGATAAAACAAAAATGCATTTATAAATTAATATAAAAAAGTAACAAGCTATGATGAATTTAAAACATGGCTTTGAAACCGTGATTTTAAGGCATTTAGAATGTGTGTTTTAACTTTAATATTAAAGAACTATGTTGATATTCTAAATCACTTACTTGTCCTGGAAGAGGTAGTTGGTCTGAAGCTATCAAATGCCCGATAACCGACATTTTATCGTGATAGTACACCTGTATCACCGACATCATCAAAGGCTGACTGTGTATGGTCCTTGCTGTGAATTCTACATTCCCTAGATGATTTTTTAATCTAAAAGAAAGAAACAGATAAAGTAGACAGAGCGCAGCTGCAGACGTAGTCAATATTTGTCAACCATGTGAATGGTATAATGGTTCAGCAGCTGATATATTTCTTGTGTTGCATCTCTATCCCTCTATGCATTGCAAAGCTACCAGTTTGTGTCAAATTTAAAAAAGCAACAGACAACCACAATTAGTAGCATGTTGATGCTAGAGCTACTTTTTGAACAGGGATTTAAATCGCGCAAACAAAGAAAAAGTCGTATAGTGATGTTCAGCTTTAACGAAGGGAGAGAACCCCAGGTGCACCCCAGCATGATCGGCCACCTTAGAACCACGGACTCTCCTTTTCAATTATATTAGAGAAATGTATGAGCTATAAGATATTTTGAAGAAATGTCACTAGTTGTTCTAAATATCAATCAAGAACGCGTAAATGTTAAATTATCCAATAGTCCGTTAAAAAGTCGTTTTCTAAAACTGTTCTACCAAAAAATATTTTCCATAACCTAAAACAGAACAAAATACAAGCGTACCTGTGAGATGCCACCTGACAGATGTTATTTGTCCCTGTCGGAAGTCTTTCAAGAGGCACAGGACCCCAAAGTTGTTTTACATTTTCCGGTATAACAGCAGTCTCATATCTTCCACTCTCTAAGAATAAAAATACCTTCCCTTGAATCGGTGCCGAAAATTGTCCCTGAATATCTAAAATTATGTCAGAGCCACCAAGAGGTATCTGAGCATTAATTATTCCGCCGCTGGCTGCATTCGCTATCGAATCAATCTGTGGCAGCATATTTAACATGATAGATCCAACATCTGTCTTTGAAGTGCAAAACGCACAGCATGTGCGTTCTTGCACCCGGAAATGTATACTGTTGGTTTCCGCCGTGTCCATTTCATTTCGACTATCAATTTTCCAGGTAATCGTTCTGGCTCCACTTGGTACATCACCCGGCCGTTTCAAGGATAACCATTTTCGCACAAGCTTCGGTCCAGCGGCACTCGACACGATCAGTTTTAGTTTCTTGTACTTATTCGGATCCGTTAAGGGAAGATTCAAAGTTAAAGTTTCAAATGTTATGATAGTGCTTTTGGTACAAAAAGTGTACGACTCGTTCGGGCTTACTTTATAAAGAAATCCTGCCGGCGGCGTTCCACGATACATTGCTCCAAACAGAGAATAAGATTCATTGTAAAACTTTTTCCAGCTGTCACGTGTCTGTTTGTCTGCTTCACTTAGTTTCGATGCTTCACTACGATCATTTACAGAATCGTCATGATTAAACAAGTGGCCAATGATCTTAACCATATCTTTTTTGTAGACTAATGGACTCAACTGGTGTGTGTGCCACATCAAATCTATGTCGTAACATGGTACCATGAAAGCTTTCGGCAGTTGTGTTTTCAAATACAAGAACTGTTTATACCTCTGCAGGCAATTCTGCAAATACTTTCTATCTCGGTAGTGTGGTAACGAAACTTGATAGTAAAACACCATCTGTCGTTGGGCAGCGGCAGCAATGTCGTATGTTATCTTTGAACTAAAGTTATCAACGGCATTAGCATTGTATGGTGCTTTGTGATCAACTGTGAAAGGTTCATGATCCTCTGAATACATTTCCGACCAAAGTTTCTGTGACTCTTTCTGCTCTTCTTGAAAATTATTCATCCTTCGTAGCGTGTGATCAACAGTCCCACCAACAAGAGTTTGACAATCTGTTTCATAGGATTTAGGGCATAGCATATGACAATGCCATATCCATTCGATATCCAGAGGTGCAGATAAGCACCTTTTGGGGTATTTTATGGCCAGTGGAAGCCAGTATTTTTCATATCGGTAGACTGCACGTCTCAATACAGTTGGTTTCTTTAAATCCTGAATAGTGTCAACCGCTTTGAGAAATTCTGTTTGACACAGAGCTTCTTCGCATAGATCGACATCAAACTTTATTTTATCCGCTTCTTGCTTGTTTTGCATGGTTTGTGTACTGGAAAGAAAGTGAAATGTATTTTCTTTACATATGGCAACAAAAATAACGATTAAATACGCAGATGAGGGATGGCTTGGAAAAAAAATGAATACTAAAACAGCGATAAGTCTAATACAGTTTCTTAGGAGGTATGTATGACATAATTACTATAAAGGTTTTTACAAACTAAGTGACCCCGGGGCAAGGGATACAATAGAATATGTTACATACAACGTTTGTTCTCTATTAACTGCAGTTTCTGTGTATTCATTTATATATAAATATATATATATATTCATTTATGAAGAAAAGCCAATATTGACTTATGGAGCATAATTTATATTACTTTTGCAAGACGATCAGCTGATGCTACATGCCAAATCGGAGCTCTTGACGTTGTACACACATTCTTAAAGATTAAGGCCTTTTAATCCTACTTTATGAACCACACTAGAAACATATTTGACTTATTACGCGTCACATAAGGAGTTTTATGAAATCCTTCTTTTGATTAAGGAGGAGGTGTATTTTAAAGAAATTGTGGATAACGACAAACGACGGACATAATGTCTAAAATAAGAAGCTCAACTCTGAAATTAATTGAGTCTGTTCATAAGTCATTAGGGAAACGCTCAGAGGTTTCATAACATCGGTGTGGAATCACTTTTAAGACTTAAGTTTTTTTAATATTTATTTCTTAAAAGGTCAACAACCTTCAAAGTTAGATGAGCTCAAAGGACCAAGAAACTAACAATGTTAGATATTTGATATAAATTAATGACATCTATGTCCAGTCCAACCCCGTTCATTTGAAGAGCAGGGGATAGAAATTTTATTTCGAATAATCGATGGATTCGAATAATCGAAATCGGAATACTGTGATAGACGAAAAACTATTACACTTTGGTCAATCATAGCAAAATACCGTTTACAACACACTTGTTTCGTTTCCTGCAATCAATTGAGAAAATAATATAAAATTAAAGACTCGTAAAAATATTTTTTATTGACATTAAAGACATAAAAAGTTGCATTTTATATTACTTAATGTATAGTTTGGTTTCGTGGAAAGCCTTGATAATGGCCGTTTTGTCACTCGTACATATTTGCATTTTCGATTAGGGCAAAAGCTCTCATGTAGCATTACAATTAATGGAAATAAAGTTTCCTTTTAAAAGGAAAGGCTTGCACAGTTGTGCCTTCATCCCAACCCTTTAAAATTGTTTTTTTTTTTTTTTTTTTTTGGGGGGGGGGGGGGGGTCAATTTATTATCATTTTTTTTTAATTACGTATTTGTATATCATAAAGGGTTTATTTAGTTGTGTTTTTTTTTTTTGGAAAACCGAATTTTTTTTTGTCAAAACGATTTAGATCTAGTCTCTATTGTATAAAACTAATAAAGAAAATGATCAATCGTAAAAATATTAACGTGATACTGAAGGAAAACAAGTGTGCACATCTCATTTCCCCTTTTTCGCAGCGAAATCATTCCTTTGCTTTATAGACAAGTAAATGCACTAAAATACTTCGTTACGTGGTACCAATTAATAAGCATGTATCAACTATGATACATAGATCAGCAAGTGGCAAGGTTAATGATATGCATGGGCTATTTTTAAATTTCCTCACCAAGAAGTTGAATTGCGTTCAGTAGATCTAAATATAACTCGATCATGCGTGATTTGGTAAGCAGGACCACCCTTTGAAGACGGAATAATACTACAGTCACCATTCTCTATTGTATAAAACTAATACAGACAAAAAAAAACAATTATAAAAGAAACTAACTTTTGCGTCTTGAAAAACAAATGAAACGGAACAATTTCGTTTATAATTTATTACGGTTTAAACCGATAAATCAAGTAAATATAGAAATCCTATTTATATACACAAACTGGGATTACCGAAGTAACTAAAATAGCTTAGATTTCCGTAATATTACTCCGCAGTATGACGGAATCGCCCGAATTGTCACGATTGCAATCGGAACTACATCGGCTATTATCATTAATCCGAAGACTGACGGAAAAGGCCGAAAAGTTGCGATTGGCACGATTGCAGCTGGTTTCCCGTTCAATCATGCACCAACAGATGTAAGCAGGAAACCACCTTACCGGAACAAGTTTTCCAGATCAAATGGCTTGCAGCTGCTGCAAGCCAAAAACTATCGGATGTTTTGACAAATTCAAATATAGTGTATGTCTGAAAATCATCGCTGTCATCACCGAGCAATAAAGGTAACAACAACGGACACTGTGCATAACTTTTCGTTTTCGGAGTTAATTAAAGATCACGCAAAGCCTAATAATCAAGACTGTCTGACTGTCGAAAATTTTTCACAAGTCGGATTGGCAATCGAGTGGATCTGCGTAAATTAGTCAGGCTTCGAATAATAAGTGTGCAATTGATTCATAATTGTATAATCGGGACCGAAATTCAATTAAAAAATAGGAGGTAGTTGTCCTTTCGAATAATACGCTTGTAAATATATTGATTTATATAGAGATAAAAACGGGACCGCCGATCCACTTATGACAATGCCGGATATTCGAATAAAGGGTTGTCGAATAACCGGACTGTAGCATATTTTTCATTTAAACTTGTACTAAAATTCGCCTGTAAAATATCTTTGTTTACCTCACTAGATGATTGCTCAATGGTCATTTCCTGAACTATACAAGGTTATAATTATGAATAAACAGCTCCTGTCATAAATCACTTATAAACCAGATGTTTTATATCAAACACGACAAAATCATAAACAGTCGAAATTCGATATCAATTTAGATCAATCAAGTGGATCAATTGTGAGAAGACAATCTAGTTAAAATGCATTAATATGCAATAATTTATGTTAACACTTACAGCGCGACTATGAGCTATAAATGCTTTTGTCAATTGTGTATTGTGATATTTATGAAAAAAATAAAGCTTCTTTTCTTTTTCTTCTTTTTCTTCTTCTTCTTTCTTCTATCTTCTTCTTGCGGAAGACTTCCTCCGAATAAAGAGCATCCTATTAATAAAGTCGACTCTCTGATAATGTATCATTGATTATAAAAACCTCCAAATAAAGTCCACTTGTCTACAAAGGCAAGGCTTTGTCTCTCCCTTGATTGACGTTTGCTGTGAGTGGCCTTGCCATGGTTATAATTTGAATTTCAGTTGTTAATAACATGGGTTATAATGTCAAGATGCAGAGAAGTCGCACTTATAACACTAGCTAGATTGTTTGGGCCGAGATTGTTTGGGCCGCAAGCAAGCCTGTCACTTAACTGAGAATATCGCCACATCGACAATATAAAAATCTAGAAACAAAGTAATCCCTCGGATGGTCATATATATGGTCATTTTACTGATTGAGGATTCCTGGCTAAAAAGTTACAAATAGTGAATGTCAATATATTTTTTTTTAATTTGGATGTACAAAATATAACACCCAAATTACAATTTTTCATTCTATCCATCTCAAGACATTTAAAATGCATTCAAAAATTTCACAGTGAATCGATTTTTTCATGAAATGTTAAATATTTTTTTTTTGCACACCTGGCAACATTCTCATCAACTTACGTTTGGTTTTTAATGTGTAGATAACATTGTTATGTCCGTGCAATATATATCGTAAATTGAAGCTTCGGGTAAAGATCTACTTAAAAACAAATTATTTCTATTGTCGTAAAATTTGCAGATTTTAGATAAATTTTCTCCATAAGAAACCTGATATATTGCTTTTTGATTGAATTTTGTGTTCTACTGGTATATTAAACTTTTTTTTCAAAATTTGAAAAACAATGTAAAAAATGTAATTTTGTATTGAGAATTTGGGTAACTGAGATCTTTTTCTTCTTCTTCTTCTTCTTACTAAGCTAATTATTGTCAAATCTGTTGAAAGACTTCATGCGAATAAAGAGCATCCTATAAATAAAAATCCGGAAACAAAGAAATCCCTCGGAAGCATTAATCACAACACAATTTCTTGAAAGTTGCAGGCTCGGTTTTGATTGAGGCTTTACATAAAGGGATAATGAATAAGTCCGACCTCTCATTAAATAATCAAAAAAATAAAAAAACCCCAAATAAAAATTTTCCCCCCATTAGTTTGTGTAAGGGGAAATTCCCATGGTTTTAATTTGAATTTCAATTGTTAATAACATGGGTTATAATGTCAAAATGCAGAAAAGTCGCACTTATAACACTAGCTAGATTGTTTTGACCGCAGGCAAGATAACAGAAGAAAGTTTTTTATTTGTTAAACATTGTCTCACCTAGTTTATCTATCAGACATTTTATCGTGCCTCCTTGCCAAGCAACAGTTTTGAATAAATGCTATAGTGGTAATTCGATATGTCTTTTTAGACGGAAGGTTAAGTTAAGATGTATTGACAATTCAAAACAATTTTTTTAACGATTTTCTGCTTTCATATTAGTTGGCACTGGACATTATCCGCTTCATCTACCCTCACCAAGCTAAATATCTTAATTTATGTTGTACATCTTTCAATCTAAAGGACAAAGTCATTCATAAGTTCAAGGAATATGACTATGAAACGCTGCAAATCAAGATCAGTCGTGCAGCTCTGGGGAAAAAGGTGTTGCCGCCAGGAGGCTAAGGATTCAGACCGTGAAGAGCACATTAATGACCATGATGAAGACGTTTATTTAAAAATGTCTATATAATGGCATTGCTTCAGTTTACGAACAACAAACAAGGGTTAAGGAATGCTATGTAATATGGAATAATGATGTTAACAAGGTGGCCGATTTGTGACCTATATCTACTTTCAAAGTGAATCCATTTATATAGAGTGTGACAAAGCGATGCACCTTTTGCACATTTGTATTTATTGGATTTATATGAATCGAAAAAGGAATCTTTGAGCATTATATATGATTTAAACCAATATCTAAGTCACTATTAAAAGTATGGAGAAAACGATTGTTGCTCAATAAATGTTTAAATTTTATGTGATTTTTTCTTGGTCCATTCCGCCCACTGATCCCTGGTGTGAACCAAATTACAGATATTTATGTCAGTATGATGAGTAAACCACTTTTACATATATATTAAATATATGAATGTATTGTGTCCGTATCTTTCGTTTGCAAATAAGAAAATCAAAGAAGATACATGTACATGTATATGAAAAAATACGTTTTTTTTCAGGTCACTAAGCTTTTCCAGTTAATTTCATAAAAATTAAAGAAGGTTGTTTTAACTAGCTTGTACATTAAATTTCCATTTAACATATTAATATTTTAATGAAAATTTGTTTGTAAAGATATATAATGCTCCGTCGCTAAAGGTCACAAAGAACGTAAAATACATGTATAATGTAAAATAATGAATAACATTTTGTACATACGGCAACATATCTTAGCTTTCAGCCTGAAAATCCAAATTCTGTTTCTGGCTCACACATAGCCTGAGACCGAAAAGCAAATCAGTGCTATCATTAAATACCTGTACCATATCAAATAATCATCTGTTGCATAGTTTTATTTCCTTGGTATTTACATAAACAAACTGGATGATAGGTTCGTTATAATTATTACAAGTAAATAATATACATAAAACGTGACTGTTTTCATGCAATGGAAAGCAATAACAAACACTTCTTTCACTTCCGCAACTCTTTCCGATCGCGTAGCTGCAACGGGCAAAGTATGCCTATTGACAACACTTTGCTTCGGTTTGGATAAATGACAGAATTGGTCCAATAATGACTATGTAAGCATATCTATTCTAACGAACTATTTTGCATCTAAAGTGACAATAATGTCGTGTTGAAGCGTGCCCTTGCTAGACCTCCGCAGGAAACATGTTAATACTTTCAAATACACCCCTGCATGGACACAAACACACTTAAGTTATAAGTAGATTGTATCGGAAATCGTAAATTATAATTTCGGAAGAAATAATTGTTATAATGATTAAACCTTCTTGGATAAACAAGCTTAAATTTTGGTTCCAAAGATATTCGGGGGACAGTTCTTGACCCCTTAATTCTTGCTACTGCTAGTCAAATCAAAATAACTTTCAACATCTAAACACAAGTGAGGCATCTGTCTTAATCATGAACTTAGTTTAATTAACATTATAAAATGAAATTTCATTTAAAATCGAGCCTCAATGATAAAAGATATGGACAAATAATACAATGACCAGCATTACCCCACCACAGTCTCAAGCATAATTTGTCTCCGTTGCCTCTGTTTACCATTATTTGCAAGGGTTGTGAACCTTCCTGTCCAAAATACAGCGTTAAAAATCTAACGAAATTGTTTTGCTTATCAATTTATATCTCTTTCATATATAACAATCATGAAATAATTATACAAAAATTTAGGGGTTTTTTTTAAGGCTTCAATCAACACTTTAAAATACGTTTGATAAAATCTTTATTTTTGAAATCTAATATTCACAACTACAAATGTTAAACTATGTAAAAAAAGCACATGCTATTCAGTGTATGGGGAAAAATCCTTATTTTGTTAGAATTAAAAGTGCACCAATATGGTTGTATTGAAACGTGATTTTGTTTCATCTTTTTGAAAAAGTCAATGGCTATTAATGGGGGGATTAATAAGGTTCTTAACCATAAATTATCAATGCATCTTAACATGATTGCCACAGTTTAGAATTGTTCACTATTTACGGGAGTAAGCGACCGGATAGCCGGTAGAGCCGCGATCTGTATTCCGAAGGTCCCCGCGTTCGAGTCCCGGGCAGGCAGTATTTTTTTCACGCCATGTGGTATAATGGTACTTTTCTACTTGTTGATGATATTTCCTATAACCCTTACCCTCCTAAAACCGATATCGATTAGCCTCTGTTACCAGTATAGAGATTGGACAGACTGCATATCTGTGCTCTATACTGTTACCTTATTCTAATTCAAATTTCAATCTAAACATCCCTAAAATCGATAATGGACAGTTTAGCTGGACAATTTCATTTAATAAATTCAGCAATATAAGGATTACAAGAAAGATGAATTAAGAAATAAACACAATTTCTGTTTAGATGAAAAAAGCAATGAATACATTAAACTAAACAAAAACTCATTATTTTATAAGGAGAGGTAATGTAAAATGTACAAAAATCTATAAATACTAAGAACACAAGTATAGATCAACTTTTCCATCACTTCTAAACTGCTTAAAGTTATGATAAATAATTTGACATGAAAATATATCCCAATATATTATATCTATAAAGGTAACTAGTAAGTGTTACCAAAATGAAGAAGGTACTTCATGACATTGCTGTGAGTACTGCAAGTACGCTGTACATGTATTTCTATAATTTTACAATTAGTTTTACCCAAAATGTGAAATTGTAATAAGAAAAATATCTACAGTCATGCGTAAAACATACAATACATAATATATATGTTTGATCAGTACTTTATATCAAATATCAGTTACATTTAAATCAAACCTTAAATTAAAATAATAATGTAACAGAAGCATCTAAATAAAACATTGAATCTTTATCACCCGCGGCGCAAGAGTGTAACAAAGCCATTTAATGAAACAATATTAAACAACAGTGTAATAACACTTTGACGTGGCGTCATTTGCGTGTAGGTTTAATACTGGATTTATTGAACGAGTTGAACGTATAAAATCATATTATGCGAGCCTCTGATTTTGTATTAAATCTACACGAAATTTTCCACATATCTAAAGCAAGAAAGGTACACTGTTATAAAAAGTCCTTTTTATTTAATTGACGCGCCTAAAGTGTAACGCTATTATGAGAGCGCTTTTACGCTACTGTATGTTTGCATATAACGCAAATGACGTCACGTCACGTAAAAGTGTTATTACACTGGTGTAGTATCTTTTTTAAGAAATGGCTTTTTTCCAATACTGCGCCTCGGTTTATGTGATAAACGATTCTAACTGGTTAGGGACTGCAATTATATGCGACTGTTTTTTTTCTCCCTCGATAGGATAGCTTAAGTTTACACAACTTTATACAAGCAGCAATTATAACGTAAGTGTATTGATATTTTCCGTTCTTTATATGTTTCCTTTCAATATGATGCCACTTACACTAACACAACGGGTCTGATCCATATCAGTTGATAAATACGAAACATCGGTCCCGATTCGTAAGCAACGTAATGACGTCATAAATCCTCTTTTATATATAAGAGTTAATCTAAATCCACTCTTGACTTTGTGTTCCAGTATCCATAGAACACTAATCTCTAAATCAAACCTTAGATTAAATTATCATCTAAATTAAACCTTGAATGTATATGCCGAGTTACATCTAAATTAAAACTTGTACTCGTATTTAAGTACCAATATAACAGTAACATCAAAATAAATATAAACTCAATGTTACAACTAAATCAAACTTTGAAGTTATTTATCCGCACAACAGTTATATGTTCATTTTAAACCAGCAGTAAGTCCTTAAATTAATATAATTTTCATGTTTTCATAAAAAACTAAAGAGGCGTTATTTAACTACGTAGAAACACTGAATAAAGCCTTCGAAAATAAAAATACACACACACAACGAGATACTTATACAAAATTAAATTGGTAATGTGACAATACAAAAAAGGCTTAAAGCTACACAAAAAAAACACACAAAAAACAGAAACCATTCAACATCTTGTGATTCAAACTATATAAAATGATGTTACACAAAAAATACATTTTTATATCAAAAATACAGTACAATGGCCAACGCTACCGAAATAAAATTCTTTCGAGACATGATTCAAAATAATGCCAATATCACTCTTTTTCAACATGATAATGCTACAAGCCATACAGATAGGGACACTGGCGTATAACAGTGCATTTATTAATGACTCGCCTATCAAAAGTCCTGATCTAAATCCCATTGAATACCTTTCGGCTAATTTGAACCAGCGTTTTAGACTTCCCATATTCCACCGTCAAACGTCATTTAGCTAAGACAAGCATTAATTTAGAAATAAAACAACATTCCACAAGCCGAAATCAATACGCTCATCCGTTCTATGCGCCAACGATGCCAGACAGTCCTGGATGCTGATAGTGTTCATATCCGATATTGACCTCATCTGCATTTTTACTACCATTTCAATACTTTTGGATAAACCCTTAGAAATAACCGCAATAAAATACTCTTTCGATAATATAAATCTGCTATTACCCAGATTTTCATATTTTAGTATATCTGCACATAAAACAGGGGAAGTTTCTTTTTTTTGTTCAGTATATATGTGGTCTTGGGAAACACTCCCCTCCCCAAAAATATATACCAACAATTTTTACTCACTTTTTAGAGTTACTGACAAGCGCACTTTAAAACAAATGATATTTTTCTGCACAAGAAGTACAATGTACAAAATAAATATAAAATAAAGAAATTAAAATATAGTCATTAGGTCATGAAACTATACACATGGATAAAAAATAAAAAAAACTACATTTTTATTTAATATAAAATTGCATGTTTGTAACATAAATTATACAAAATACAATGGATCACGTTATTTTTACACAAAATCCTTTTGACGCCGTAATTTTTAAACAAAATTCATTGGACATCGTGACATTTACACAACATTCTTCTAAAATTGAAACATTTAAACAAAATCTAATTAACAGCCTGATATTTATATAAAATCAATTGGATAATGTGACAAATGTATAAAATATATATAATAATTGGCTCTGCAAAGTTATGAATAATTATCTTTTTTGTATTTAAAGAAAGCAAAGGTATACTAAAACAATTTTGTTATAAAGACTTTTAATAGGTTTTATTGCCGTATATGAACAGTATTTTGCCATAAAGCCCTATAATACAGGCTCGTGATATATAAACTAGCTAATGTTTATTATAAGCCATATAACTATAAAAAAAAACTTCATGACTAAATTTATTAAAACTACAGAATCTACATTGCCTTTAGATCAATCAAAACTGCAAGGCAATGTTGTAATGGTTTCGCTAATACGAAAAATGTTATTGTATTCGCTAATAGTAAAAATGTAAAAAATTTAATGTAAACTATAATACAATCTTTTCCTTCTGCGATGCATTTTGCATAGGCCGCCTTATATAAAAAAATAAATACAACATCTAACGGTCATACAACTGTACGTTTACACATACACTATCCTGCAAAGTGACAGAATGTGTTACAGATATCTAACATCAATATAACTGATAACAGAAATGAAAAAAGTTTGTCAAGGAGATATTTATGCAAATGACTTTAACCACCTCAGCATCAACCCCCACATCCACCACCACCGCCACATCCGCCCCCTCCGCCACATCCACCGCCTCTCCACACCCGCCCCCTCCGCCACATCCGCCCCCTCCACCACATCCACCCCCTCCTCCACATCCACCACCTCCACCACAGCCTCCGCACCCACCACATCCCCCGCCACCACTGCAAGCAGCACCGTCACACCCAACATCTCCGGTGTCGCCGTCAATTCCATAGGCTGAATAAAAAAACTCCATGACACCACAACCCCCGCCTCCACACATGGCACAAATATTTGCACCGTAGTGTAAATGAAAGTAATAATTTGAAGGGATACTCGTAAGCAAACCTGCGGCCATGATAAATTTCATATCTTCTGACGGAATGGTGGTTATTGGTCGTGATCCACGAGTTAAAGTGGTGGGTTTAACTTGGTAGCCTTCATTCCATCTATTTGACATTGGGATGCAGAGCACGTGAAGCAAAGATACCGAAAATGCAAGGGCAATGTTTTCCGCAACTTCGTTACTAGAGGAGTCGATATTCAGTATACCTTCCATGAGGTCGATCTGAGCAGATTCCAAATTGAAAACATACTCTTTCCTAAGATATCCCAGCTCAATCGTGGTTATTCTTCCAGTTGAAAATTTGTAAAACTTTAAAAATAGAGTTCCCGGACTCCCATCAACTCCGCTTTTTTCTTAAAAAAAAAAATTAATTTGATTGAGTGAATCCCTCCAGTAAAATCGTATTTTCTTTACACATTTCAGGATATAAAAGTTACAGAATGTGGGCGAAGATCTGTTTCCGGAATATAATAATATCAGTAGATTAAACCAGCTCCTTACAAATTTCAGGAAATTTAAGATGTGACAAGGGCAACATTGTCGCAAAGTACGTCCGTCAAAAATGCTTTTGTCAGGGATGAAGCATTATAGATATGTATTATAAGAATCTTACACTGGCTGCCGGTACAGACCGGAATATCTAGCTCGAGGTTAACTGTTTACGGCGGTAACGAGGCTCTGCCGAGTTTCCGCTAAACAGTTACCTGAAAGCTAGATATTCCCGTCTGCACTGACAGCCCGTGTTTGATTCTTTTTCTTGCATATTACATATCCTTGACCTTGACCTTGAAAATATTAACCTAAATTACATGTGTCACACTTGTAGTCATGATAGTTATCATTTGTGTTACAATCCATCAATAAATGATGACTAAATGGTCCCCGTACACAAACATACCTCACTATGTGACCTTGACTTTGGTAGCAGGGACCTGGATTATGTACGCAATACTTAGCTTCTTAATGGTAGTCATGATAATGACCATTAATGTGTTTCAATCCCTAAATGGTCCACAAATGTGTGACATTGACCTTGGCTGCAGGGACCTAAATTTTGTACGTGACACTCCATCTCACCGTGGTGAACATCTGTGCCAAGTTATATTGAAATCCCTCTATGCATGTAGAAACTTTGCTCCGGACAAGCGTTTTTCAATTACCTCAAGTGTGACCTTCTGGTCCAGGAAAGATCTCGATATTTTATCTTCTTTATTGACCTTGACCTTGCATATATTAACCTAAATTACATCTTTTACACCCGTAGTCAAGATAATTACCATTTGTGTTTCAATTCCTCAATAAATGATGACTTAATGGTCCAAATGCACATTTTCATATTTTTATCCGAACTTTGACCCCAATGTTTGACCTTGACCTTGCCCGCAGGGACTTAAATTTTGCACGCGTCTCCATGGAGAACTTTTGTCCCAAGTTATATTGAAATCCCTCTATGCATGTTTAAGTTTTACTCCGGACAAGCGTTTTTCAATGACCTCTTAGTGTGACCTTGTCCTTTGACCGAGAGACCTGGTTCATACTCCTTCTCATAGTGGGTAACATTTCTATGAAGTTTCATAAAATTGACAAAAATTGGACGCCGCCCGGCCACCAGCCGCCCACCTGCCGGCAAGGGGGGGGGGCTATAATACGACCTGTTTTTCAAAGGGGCATATAAAATGGTTATTCTAATACGACCCGCATTTTCCCTATTGAGCATAGAAGAACCGAAAGTGTGTGACTGTTATTATGCTATAAAATCACTGTTTGACGTTCTATATTACGACATGTGACCATTATACACGTGACGTAACCTCAAAAATGTGGCGCGCTGACAGTATGTACGGAAACGTTTGTTTGTTTGATAGTTTGTTTGGTTCATTTGACGCTTTTTCCCAACAGTATTTCAGTCATATAGGCGGGTAGTTTCCTAACCATCGTTCCTGGAGAGTTACACCAGTAATAGACTACCTTCCTCCACGCTTAACTACCAAGCATCTCCTGGGGATCGAACCCACACCAGAGAGGTAACTGGATTAGAAGTCATCAACTCTAACCCCTCGACAACGGAAACAAATCAGTCGCAATTAAGCGTAATATCAGGTACATTAGCATTTATTTGTTGATGTCGTGTTAGAATCGAAATAATATATCCAAATCGGTGATTTTATTGCTTGATAAAATCACTGTTTGTCGTCCAGATGCGCATCATTATATCACTCGAGCTACGCCCTCGTGATATAATTCCCCGCATACGAACTCCAAACAGTGATTTTATAGAGCAATGAAATCACTTTTTGGGATATATTATTTCTTAAATAAAATATAAGTGTGAAATATAAATGAAATTTAAGTGAAATGAAAAGTGAACATTTTATTGTCCATGAAACCCGAAAGCATCGTCAAAATAATATTACATAATGACATCAAATGTTGGTGTATAAAAGTTGATGAAAATATTCTGTTTTGAAAATTTTCAAATAATAAAGGCTAGACTAGTTAGGTCTTTTTTTTATTTTTGAACAAATACATACGTCTAGTCCCAGCAACACCTCGTTTAAAACCCTTCCATCTTCCGGTAAGAATACCCCAGTCTCCATCATTGTTTTTCAAAAGAACGGCTCTTTCTCCCAGTACAGGGTGTAGCGTAACAACATCATGCTGAACCTAAAACGAGACAAAAACATTAATCTGAATTACCTGCCCTTTGTAGATAATAGCATGGTTCGGTTCACAGTTGTTCGACTGGACAACGCAAAACTCAGTGAGACTCTTCGTGATTTTGACACTTAGACAAAGAAGTAAAAACCAGTGTTAAACTGTCAATAAAAACTGGTTAGGGACTACTTGTATATGCGGCTATTATGTTTTCTCCGTCGATTATATATAGTTTACAAAGCCTTTTAAAGTAACAATAAAAAACATTTTTAATTTATATGTTCAGTTCTTATAATGTTTTCTTTTCATTCAAAACCGAAATAATATCTCACATATACTAACACCACAGATTTCATTCATATCATTTAATAAATATTTGGACAAAAAGGCGCCAACCTTTAGGTATCCTAATGACGTCATCCTAAGTATACAACTCATTCATAAACGCTGACGTCATTTCAAACATACAAGAATGATAAATTGGTGTAAACACAATACAAGCCATTCTACGACGTAAGTTTTTATTGTTTATTTTTTATTATTAGTTCTTTTGTTTGATAATTTCTATATCTTAGCAACAGTAGGGTGCGAAATTAAACAGAGTTATACGAAAATCGGTACCGGAAGTTATTTCCACTTGAGAAAATAACATTGGTGAGCTCTCTTATTTTATCTTGTTAGAATCGAAATGATATTGGTCTGAGCGGTGTTTATCGGTAACATCGGTTTTGTCGTTTTGATGCGAAAAAAATTAACGGCCTTCGTGGTCAATTTCTACCCATCAAAACTCCAAACCGGTGTAAAATAGCCGAAAAACACCGCTGAGACCGATATTATTTCTTCAGTAACGTCACAAATTTATTCTGGTCGAACCATCGCTCTGTGGATCCAATGTTTTGGATTTATTTATCTAAGGTATACAAAAGATTTTGGTTTTGAAAATTTCATTATCTTGTTAAGATTCTTAAAAGAAAACCATAGAAAAATGTATACCGTTACTGGGTGTGAGCCGTGTTACACTTTTTACTTTGCCAAATTAACAGACTGTCAATAAATCAGAGTGTACGATTTTCAAATATTTGTTTTGTTTGTACTTAAATGATCTGCGTTATCCAGTAATCTGAGATTTTAAATTAATGCAACACCTACAAACACAAAAGAACATAGAAAAACTGTATACATGTAGATGAAAATTTCTGATGTAATAAAATATATTAACTCTTTATATTTGACTTATCTATCAATTTAAAATTGATTTCCACTCCAAACAATTCGCCTTTGATATCATCAAGTCAGTCAGTGAAGTTATAGATTAGTTACAGAGAAAACGATAAAACAAAAAGCGTGCATTGTTTTACAAAAAAAATCTATAAAATTTAAAATGGCAAGTAGGATATGAAACACAGTTATACAGTTCAATTGAAAAAGTAACAAGTTATGTTGAATTTTATACAAATGCACAATGAAAGCCTTGTTTTAAAGCACTTTAGGGTGGGTGTTTAACATTAATATTGAAGAAACTGGGAATTTTAAGCACAGCTTTAATTATAATGAAAGACGTGATTTATAGACACTAAGGATAGGTGTTTTTATTTTAATATTTGATGCATAATGTTTAGGAAATAGATATCCATTTTGGGTGCATTATTGTAGACGTTTCGAAGTCAAATGCTTAGAATATATTAATCTCTCAGGTCTATCGGCCTTCGTGATAAATCACAAACCATTTAAACAATAAACCGTGTATTATGTAGGAAACTTTGTTCGTTTGTTTGACTTGGTTTATTAATAATTTAAACGTCGCACCGACACAGTTTATGCCATATTGCGACTTTCCAACTTTACTGTTGGAGGAAGACATCAGGTGCACCAGTCAGTTGAACCAACGAGATTCCATAAGCTAACAGGTTTGTTTCCTCAATTGAAAGAAGGAAAAGAATTAATGAATATATGTTGAGCTACACTGAGCGTAGAGGTATTATTCATGACATCATTTGGTTCATAAACGTCCTATCTGACGTCATATGACGTGTTAGCATTCCTTTTTAATGATGTCTATATATCGTGTTATAATATATCTGCTTGATGGGGGGAATAGTGTGAAGCACGTAAGAATGATGTTTTAAATCACTTACTTGTGTTGGAAGAGGAAGTTGGTCTGAAGCTATTAAATGCCCAATAACCGCCATTTTATCATGAAAGTACACCTGTATCACCGACATCATCAAAGGCTCACTGTGTATGGTCCTTACTGTGAGCTCTACATTCCCTAGATGGTTCTTCAATCTACAAATACAAAAAGATAAAATTATACAGAGTACAGCCACAGAAGCAGCCGATATGTGCCAACCACCTTTAAGGAATTATGGTTTAGCAGCTGATATATTTTGTACTCCTCTATGACTCTTTATGTAATACAAAGCTACCAGTATGTATCAAAGTAAGTAGCACGTGGCATCCACAATTAGAAGCATTTTGCTTGGTTGTTTTTTATGTAGCACCAACACGGTAAAGGTCATATGGCGACCTTTAAGCTGTACTGGTTGAGGAAAGCCTACGTATGACCTCCGTTATTGTTTCAGGCACGATCGGTCATTTGAGTAGAATCACGTTCAGAAAACTAGCTGTATAGCCAAGACCGTCATAGTCAATTGCATTATAGAAATGTATGAGCTAAAAAATATTTTGAAGAAATGTTACAGGTTGTTCTTACTATTAACCAAATGTCAAAGAACGAAAATTGTCAACCAAAAATGTTTAACGCATTACTAACAAATGTTAAATTGCCAATATCTGTTAAAATGTCGCTATATACAAGCTATTCTAACTTAAACAATTCACTGATTATAAAACAGAACAAAAATCAAGTGTACCTGTGAGATGCCACCTGACAGTGGTTATCTGTCCCTGCCGGAAGTCTTTCAAGAGACACAGGACCCCAAAGTTGTTTCACATTCTCCGGTATTACAGCAGTTTCATATCTTCCACTATCTAAGAACAACAATGCCTTCCCCTTTTTCGGTGCCGAAAATTGTCCCTGAACATCTAGAGTTATGTTTGAGCTACCTAGAGGTATCTGAGCATTAATTCTTCCACCGTTGACCGCATTCGCTATCGACTCAATCTGTGGCAGCATATTTAACGTGTTAGATCCAACATCTGTCTTTGACCCGCAAAACGCCCAGCCTGTTCGTTCTTGCACAAAGAACTTTATACTGTTGGATTCCTTTGTGTCAATTTCATTTCGACTATTAATTTTCCAGGTAATCGTTCTGGCGCAACTTGGTACATCACCCGGCCGTTTCAAGGAAAACCAATTTTTCACCACCTTCGGACCAGCGGCACTCGATACGGTAAGTTTAAGTTTCTTGTATTTATCTGGATCCGTTAATGGAAGGTTCAAAGTTAAATTTTCAAATGTGATAATAGTGCGTTTTGTACAAAAAGTGTACGACTCGTTCGGGCTAATCTTATGAAGAAACCCTACCGGCGGCGTCCCACGATACATTGCTCCAAACAAAGAATAATTTTCATTGTAAAAAGAATTCCAACTTTCACGTGTCTTTTTGTCTGCTTCACTTAGTTTTGATCCCTTACTACGATCGTTTACCGAATCGTCATGATTGAACAAGTGGCCTATGATCTTAACCATGTCTTTTTTGTAGCTTAATGGATTTAGTTGGTGTGTGTGCCACATCAAATCTATGTCATAACATGGTACCATGAAAGCTTTCGGCAGTTGTGTTTTTAAATACAAGAATCGTTCATACCTCTGCAGGCTGTTCTGCAAAAACTTTTTATCTCTGTAATGTGGTAACGAAACTTGATAGTAAAACACAGTCTGTCGTTGGGCAGCGGCTACAATGTCGTATGTTATCTTTGACTTGAATCTATCAATAGCATCAGCATTGTATGGTGCACTGTAATCAACTGTAAAAGGTTCATAGTCCTCTGAATACATTTCAAACCACAGTTTTTGCGACTCTTTCTGCTCTTCTTTAAACTTGTTCAACGGTCGCAGCATATGGTCAACAGTCCCTCCAACAAGAGTTTGACAATCTGTTTCATAGGATTTTGGGCATAACATATGACAATGCCATGCCCATTCGATATCCAGAGGTGCAGCTAAGCACCTATTGGGATATTTTATGGCTAGTGGAAGCCAGTATTTTTCATATCGGTAGACTGCGCGTCTCAGTACAGACGGTTCCTTTAAATCCTGAATAGTGTCAATCGTTCTCAGAAATTCTATTTGGCACAGAGCTTGTTCGCATAGATCGAGATGAAACAATAATTTACCAGCGGCGTACTTGTTCTGCATGGTATGTGCTCTGAAAAGAAAGTATTAATAAAGAACTTGTGGATTTTTTACAAACGGTCACCAAAATAAGGAATTGCATGGGCGGGTGCAGGAGAGACGGGATTGCTCGGGAAACAATGATCACTAGAAAAAGCAATAATTATATCAAGTTAGAGAAGGTCTTTATGGCATGATGCAAACTTAGTGACCCCATGGCACGGCGATGTTTGACCCAGACGCTTACATGCAGTAAATCTATTCTCTGCTAAATGATGTTTCACGAAAGAAGACTTTTATGTGTTTTCATATATATTTTATATTTATTATGTGACCTCTATCGTATTATGGAGCATGAAGTAAATTACCGTTATAAGAGCATTAGATGATACTACCATATGGGCCTTATCTGAGCTCTGGACTTTGTAGTTTGCGAGAAGAACATTTTTTAACACTTCATTCTTAAAATCTTGTATAGCTCTTTTGAACTAGTTTATGCATCATACTGGAAACATTTATGTTTTTGTTAAGGGTCACTTCTCGTGGCAGTAATGTTGGTTTAGTCGGATCTGGGATAATTATTGGTGATGCAGTTGCATATACGGAAGACGGATTTGTGTATATTACGGGGTACATAACTAAGAAACCATAATTCTACAAAATCAAACTGTTTTGCTTTCGCACGAGGGTCACCAAGGTCAATCAAAATGCAAAAGATTCCTGCGTGAGTATTTTTCTTTTTACATATGGATAAATAGTTGAAGCAATATGTAAATCGTGCATTGTGTGTGCCAAGCTGAATCACCAAGAAGTACTCCAGATCCGATCAAACCAACGTAAACTTATTTTCTCGAGGTCGATTTCGTTAATAATATTTAATGATGAACCGCTATCTTTGAACACATAAACATTTTCGCCATTTGATTTTATGTTTTTCTTTGGTACTTTTTTTCATTTGAAATCTTATATCCAAATAACATATGGCACACATTCGAACTGTAATCTGCCGTGTTTACCTCTGATAAAACTTGTGAATCCGACTGTTCATCGTTTGACGTTTTCTACAAAACGATATAAAATGATTCTACTTATGACAGTAGTTAGACATTCCACTCCGATAGCAAGGCAACGGGTCGGCAAGACGACTCGTCCAATTTAATTTGATGTAAAGCTTCTTACAGATCTAGATGCGAAAAGACCATTCAACGTCAAGTTGATGTCATCCATCGTCGAGCAAGAACGTTTCTTTGTTTTAATTGCGGTGTTGGCCTTCCTCATATTAACGCACACTTTCACTTCATATGGAGCATTCGGTTTAGGAGCAGCTACTCAGTTCGAAACCCACGGTGTCGCTATACATATAAACTTTTCAATGAAACTCATTTTTCGGCTTGCGCACGTACATGAAATGGTTCTCTCCTAGGTAGTTGAACTGCAGGTACAACACTTTCATCAATACGAAACTTATTATTTTCTGTCTTTCATACATCCTAAGCCTGTAAGAATATCCATGAATAAGTCCTGAATATGCGGCTTAGGTTTGAACTGATTGCTTTTGCGGTAGAATGCCGAGCTATACTCTCTATAAATCATAACCGATAAATGATTCTTTGTTGCCTTCAATGATATGGAAACCTTTTGTCAACAAGGGTGCCATAGTCACAAAATACGCCCGTTTACGAAAGCTTTAGATGGAGATGGGGGCATTATGGATAAGTGTTATCTAGCAAGCAAGTTTTTATTCTTGGCACTGTGTTGTTAAATGAACCTTAAAACAAATCAGTAGGGAAGATATGCACAGGATGTGTGACCTTGACCTTGGTCGCAGGGACCTGAATTTTATGCACGGCACTCCGCCTCACAATGGTGAACATTTGTGCCAAGTAATATTGAAATCCCTCTATACATGTGGAAGTTTTGCTCCGGACAAGCATTTTTCAATGACCTCTAAGTGTGACCTTGACCTTTGACCTAGAGACCTGGTTCATGTGCGCGACACTGCTCCTCATAGTGGTGAACATTTCTATGAAGTTTCATTAAAATCCCTCCATACATGTAGGAGATATGCTCCGGACAAAATTGGACGCCGCCCGCCCGCCCGCCCGACCGCCCGCCCGCCAGGGGCGTTCCCATAATACGTCCCGTTTTTCAAACGGGCGTATAAAAATTGTGAGTCCGACTTCACTTACTTGGCTTACTAGCACACAAACTTAAAAGAAACGAATGATGGTTAATATATTATATTACATTGTATATGTGTTGCATCCAAGTAACTCACACACACACACATCATATCTACAACTAAACTCACGTATATACAGTAACAATAATTGATAATAAAGGCGTGGCTTTATCATTTTATACATGCTTACTACAGTAATATGTTATGCTGATGTCTATCAAGGTGGCCAATTTGTGACCTATGTCTACTTTAAGGGTGAATACAAACCGATGGTTTACATTAAAGTCAGTTCAAAGAATAATCAACTTTTACGTATATATTTTATATAAGTCAATATCAAAATTAAATATATTGTGTTCATATGTCTTTCGTTCGCAAATGAATTAAAGAAAATACATGTACATAAAACACGAACAAATGACTTTTTCAGGTCAATTAGCTTTTACAATTAATCTCACAAAATAGTAAAGAAGAATGCTGTAAATTGTACATTAAATTTACATTGCATATGTTGATATTTTTTACTGATAAATTTGTTTGTAAACATACATAATGCTCCGTCACAAAAATAACGTTTCATACATATGTTGTACACTAATAAATAAATATAATAATGATAAAATTTTACATTACGTTGTTGACGTGTCTAAATTTTCAGCCTGAAAATCCAATATCGAAATGTTTCGATCAAAAACAGGCTTAGACGGTTCACAACAGTAGACATCAGAAATATAATCACGAAAAAAAAATAATACGATTGAACCCAAAACCCACTCTGCGCAATCATTACCATAACAAATGTTCGTATGTTCCTTGGTATTTTCACAAAACACATTTTTTAAATTCTAATTAAGAAGACACCCTAGCTTATGTCAATACCGTGAATAGGTATACCAAACACTTACCATGTAGGCCAAGTCTTGATCATTCAACTTAAATTATTAATTGGTACAAACTGAATCGAAGGGGTATTATATTGCAAGTACATAATTACATTATGTACATAAAACGTGACTGTATTCATGCTTTGGAAAGCAAACACGAACACTACTTTCACTTCCTCAATTATTTCCACTGGCGTAGCTTCAGTGAGCAAAGTATGCCATTGACTAAACTGTGCTTCGGTTTTGATAAATTCGGTTGGATAAATGACAGAAATGGTCCAATAATAACTGTCTATATAAACATATCTTTTCTAACACATCATTTTGCATAGTGTCATGGTGAAGCGTGTCCTAGCTGAAGCTCCGCAGAAACAGTGCTAAAAATGTACAACGTACTTTCAAACACGCCTTCTGCATGGACACATGCACGCATCATCAAAATGATAGTAAGTAGATTGTATCGGAAATGGTAAATTTTAATCTTAATATTAGAAGATATCATTATTATCATCATTATTAAAATTTATTGCATAAACAAGCTTGGGCAACAAAGATATTCGAGGGGTGCATTTTATTTGTTTATTTTTTTTTTTAATGTGTAAATTGAATTAAAACACGTTTTATGATTACCAAAGATGCCACATTCATGTCGATAGAAGTTACTAGGTGTTTACAAAGGCATCATCAGATGGGTCTGACCCCTGAGTGTCTGTGAATTTACTCTGACTGTTTATAGAACAACAGTATAAATATATTTAAAATTATCATATAGTTTTTGATGAGGCTTAATCAAAGATCTAAAAGATTACATATTTTATCGATATAACTATGTATATTACATTAATAGTAAAATATAATTAAAGCAGAGCTGCATTACTGGTACTGGTACTGGTACTGCAGTATGTACTGCAGCGATTTTGCCAGTACTGGTACTGATACTGAATTACTCTTACAAAATTTTGCTACTACTGGTACTGGTACTGCATTACTGTCTTAAAAAGTGGTACTGCTACTGCATTACCCAGTACTTTTGGCGTTGATAAAAAATAAAAATAACATCAATTTTTCTCATAAAATAAAGCTGTAAATTACATTAACTATATTTTATTTTTGTGAAAAAGTAAGTTATCAAATCTAAAGATAATTTGCTGCAATATTCCTTCAAATGTTAACATAGTTTTCATCATAAAAAGCACCAAAGACTTTAAGTAAAAATTAAATTAAGATAAACAGACTCAATAACTCTTTACCCTAAAATATCCTTATTAAAATCTTTTATTACTTTGTATTTACTAGTAAAAGAGCAAAATAAACACTAATGAATTTCTTCTATTTTAAAGAATCCAATTTCAAGTGAAAAAAGTGATATTGTTAGCACCATAAAAAGTTGTTATTTACTTTGGATTAAATTGAACAGAGGTGTGAAAGGCAACAAAAGACTGTTGTGTTTGAAATGAAAGATGTTTGCATTGTATTTATACAGTTGATTGGTTACTTAACAACTAGATATGACATGAATATATGTTGTAAATATTGTTTGTAAAAAGTATGTTAAAACTATAAAGTTGATAATATGTTACTTTAACTTTAAAGCAGCATGCCTCCAGATTCATCCTAATGTTCATGAAAATTTTGAAAATGTATTTAAAGGTAAAATATTGTTAAATGAACAAAGAAAGTACTTGACACATTACAATCTACACTTAAAATCCACGTAAATTACCAAAAAGAGGTCAAAACATGCATAAGTAGCCCCTACTGCATTAGTAACGCAGTAGAAATATGGTGATAAATACTACAAAATACAGTCATTAATTGCAAATAAGATATAAATAATCACTTGAATCTTTAACTTGTTTACTTTTCTCAAAGTTTTAGTAATTTTTTCCCAAGTTTAATTTTCTTGAAATATTATTGGTCATCTGGAGGCATGCAGCTTTAAAGTAAATTATGATTTT